GTATATTCTGTGAGGCGCTTTGAGACGTCTTGAAGACATGATAAGGCACTATATCAAATGCAAGGATTATTATTTATTATTATTCTCTAGGAACTGGGTTGAGATTTACCAGATTCATTATCTAAAGAGTATGGGGAGGTTAAATCAGAATGATCAGTACAGAAAAACCATTGAAAGAGATGACATTGATGATGAATCCAATATCCCAAAGAAAGTGAGGCAGGCAGTCAAGTAGATGTTTTCCATGAAGACCACTAGAGGGCACACCAGCACCTTGAAGCAGTTCCCTCTGACTGATAATGTTACCGAGTTTGCACTCTTGGCTCCTGTGAAGCAATGGATGGAAACCACTAAGAGATAAGCACCTCACAATAATTTTTACCCAACTTTGTAAGCAAATAAATAGCTATTTAGATGGGATAAATTCTGAAAAGGGTGCTGAGCTTTTAAAATTCTAGGCTTCCCGTTGAACCTGTTTGATCTCATCGACTGCTCACGGGAAATCATAGTTTAATGACACCAGTAAACTGCTGGAAATAGGTATGGGAAAGGCACAGAGTTACCGAGCGTACCATTTTGAGTTGTGCAACACTAGGCTTTTCGAAATTCTTTTTAAGAAAGCTGTTAAGGTATACCACGTATTACGCTCCAATATCTCCAACAGCAGCAAGAAGTGACAACAAAATTCCTCCACGTCTTCTCATTGATATCAGGGTCTTTTGGGGGAACCCATGCATTGCTACAGATACCTTGCTACATGCATTGCTACCCATGCATGGATACAGTGCTCCGGGATGCTACCCTAGGTGAGGAGCGCTCTACAAATGCAAGCTGTTGTTGTACAGATACCTTGCTGTGAGAATCAGGTTAAAACAAACACTATTTGAAGTCTCTCGAACAAAATACCCTGAATATTAAAAAAGGAGACCTGACCGTGAAACTAGTCATTTCAACCAACCTTTGGGGGAGTAGTTTAAATCCACATTTCTGCTTGTCTTTTGCGAGTCAGAAAATGGTTGCTGAAGATCTTTTTTTTGCCAGGAAATGAATTTGAACTGCAGCAGGCGATGTGAATCAATTTGGCCTCCGGTCAAATACGGACTGCCCTAGGAATTCTGCAGAACCACGTTTAATGTTATTAAAGAGCTGGTCGCACAACCAACTCTTTATTAACACTAAAAACGAACCCATTAGCAGAACTCGCCATTCATTCCACTCTGGCCTGTGCTGGTGCTAACTCCCCAACAGAAATTATGTACAGTATTCTAATCTCATTGCTCTGCTATTCCCTCTTACCTTCAATTATATTTTTTTCCATAAGTATTTGTCCAATTACTTTGTTAACCCTACAAAATGCTATCACTAAACTTTACAGTGCTTTGAAATGTCTTCCCAACGTGAAAGGTGCAAATGCAAGGATTATTGTTTATAATAAGCCTGGTCATGAATTGAGCTTTGGTTAACATTTGCTGTAACATATTCCATATCCTGACAATCCTCTGGGCAAAAACAGTTTTTTTCTTGTTCCCTTTTGTTTCTTCTGGTGGTAATCCTCTTTATATCCTAATTTATATTCTCTTGTCAATGACACATTAATCAATGGAAGTCACTGTCTACGTTAATGTTTCCACTTGTTGAATCCAAAATGCTATAGCATCAATATGATAGCCAACAGCAGATCTAAAAGGGAGTTTACACAATGGATGATGATGTGCAACTCGCTTTCGGAAGCTGTGGTTAAAGCAAAAAAACAACGCATTAACGTATTTAAGAGGAAACTTGATGCATACATGAGGGAGATGGAAAGAAAGGTATGGGAGAGATTAGGAGGGGTGAAGTTCATGTGGAATATAAATACTGGCATGGACTTGTTGGACTAAATGGCCTGTTTCCATGCTGTAATGTTCTACGTAGTTCTGTCTGTTTCTTCTATCAAAACCATTTACAATTTTTTTTAGTAAGACCAAGGCAAAGCAGAGAGGGAGCACACACAATTTAATTTTCAAATCTAATATCCTTCAACACTTTACACATTTCTCTATGTTTTGATTATATTATAATACAATCTCAGATAATCTGCCCGACTGTTCTTCAAATATCATTAGAATTCTCCGGAGGTGAACATAATTCCACTGGTGTGGAAACAGTGGCACAAGAACTCAGTGGGAATGAGGAATATTAGAAGCCGCTTTGTATTGGTACTTTTGATTCAGCTGAAAGTTAATATACCCAGCAGCCCATCACAATGACCTAATGCAGTTATATATGGTGAATTGCTTCATGCTGCTTAAATCTCCAGTTTAGTGACTAAAATAGCCAGGGGCACAGAAGATGACGACTAACGTTATCTTCAGAGCAACAGGCAAGGCTGTATTTACTACTGACCCTGATTCTAAGATCTTAGGCACACAGATCAACTGGTATTTGATACTTGATTGATACATTGCATCATTTGGTTGTGGGGCATTGCTGGCAAGGATTAACCTACATAAAACTTCAAAATATATCAAATTTCGGGAACGCATTGTGATCTTTCAGCGTGACAAGGCGGTATGTTAAGATTCAAGCATTTTTACACAATTAACTCAACACAAAGCATTTTTCACGCAGCCCTGAAAGATTTATTGATGGATAAATTGGATTGTCAAATGCTTAGCAAACAGAGGGTGTAATGCAACACTGATTACTTATTGTGACCTGTGTTTAGCACACCTCAATTTGACAGGGTGTGAGAAGGCACGAGAGGGCTTCAGGGAGAAAACGTCCCATTTCAGGCAAGAAAAGGAAAGTCCTTCGCCCAATAGTTGTTTCACCTCCTCTTTATGGTATAATAACAATAAGCCTTGCATTTGATAGAGTAGCTTATCATGACATCAATGCATGTTAAGGTGCTTCACAAGATTTAATGTAAAGTGCAGTGACTGTATTTGCAGGCAAACCTGGCAACCAATTTGTGCAGAGCAATGTCCACAAACAGCTATGAGGTGAATGATCAATTTCATTTGGGAGATTGTTGGCAAAATTCCCTTCTTTTTTGGGAAAACTGCCATGGGCATTTAACATGCACCTGAACAGACAGACAGGACCTCGGCACTACATCTCTTCCAAAGAAAGGCACGTCTAATAATGTAGTGTTCGCCCAGCACTGCACTAGAGTACTCATTAGCTTCGACTATGAGTTTTAAAGTTCTGACGTGGGGCTTGAACTTATAACCTTCTGATTGAGAGGTGAGAGTGCTACCAACTAAACCAGGCTGACACCTCCTTGGTAAAAAACAGAACAGTTGCTGCAATGAAAAAATGTGCGAAGATGGAAGTGATTAGGAGCAAAACGAAAAATAACAAATGTGGAATAAAATAGCATCTTTTTTACATTAACAAAAATATAATTATAAACTTGGGCAACATAATACCAGACTCCTAAATTTTCCAGATCTTTAATTCTTTTTAAAAAATGAGAGAGCATAGACTCCAATAAGTGTCCAAACAGGAAAAAGTTATATTGAGAGTCTGTGAAGTATCAAATGTTGGACTGAATTTGTGTACAAGAGATTTCCTAACAGGACTTAGCAATACATGATGCAAAATGTAACTTAAAAAACAAACAGCTGACTCTAGTTGAATTAGACTGTAATATCTTTAGACTGGATCCTACCATACATTCTATATCTAATCTTAATATCGTTCGTTTGCCTGCAAATGAAGTCACTACACTTCAAGGTAAAGATCCTGTTAAATGCTTCAAGACATTTCAAAGGTGTTAAATGTGCTATTTCGAAGATAAGGGTGAGTTTATTACTTTTTATGATTATTATTATGTCCTTAGAGCACACTAATGACTTCACATCTCTTCTTATTCTAATAAAAAAAGTTGCATTTGAAAACTGATCCACAAATGCTTCTTTTTAACACTATATCCACACCCTCCAGTTCTGTGTGTTCTTGGACACTGTTTAATACTGAAAATGAATAGTGGAAAATTCAGTCCATTCTCTAAAAGGTCTGTTGCATCTGGGCCAGGTGGCACGACAGAATGGAAAACATGACAGATTCACGGATACATGAAAAAGGCATGAATGGAATATTGAACTAGCAACTTGATCTAAACACGCAAATAAAATACAATAGAAATGGGTACAGTTCTTTTAGGATGCTTACTCAAGCCTATGGATGGAGGGTTACAATTGTAATTTATTTTTAAGGTTGCACAAATCATTTCCTGAGATAACTTTTTTTTATATATTCTGTAATTTTTAAATGTTCAATTTTTGACAATGTGGTTTCCATTAGAAAATGTCTCGTGTGCAGTCTCATAAAAACTGCTCTAATAATGACCTCTGACTCATTCTCTGACAGTGCTGCCATGCATACTTGGATTCTACTGTGAAAAGGCATTGATACACATAGGAATGTTCAAGACCGGAAAAGACAAAATACCAGATCATTTCTATCACTTGCACCCCTCAATCACTTCTTTCAACAAAACTCTATCCAGCTCCCTCCTGAATGAGTGTCCGCCCGGACAGTTTATTCCATATGTAACAACCTCTGTGTAACGTAGTCAACCCAAGGCTGTTTCTTTACTTCTGGAGCTTGTGCCATTCCCTCCGTATTGTAAATATTGTGGTTTCACGCCAAAATATTATTTGGGCTTGGTGTATCTACATCCCTCAGTCTCTTGAAAGATTCATCAAAATCTTCCCCAAGTGTTTTGCTCTCATTGCCAGTAAACATTGCCAGTTTCTGCTGCCTTTCCTCTGAGTTTTGGTGTCTGATCCAAATAGATAGTTGAATTGCCATGTATTGTACCCTTTCTGAATTGCAGCAAGTCCCAATTGCAGAAGTACAGCGACCAGAATTTGTACATGTGGCACTGGACCAATTGCTCTCTAAAGCTGTACAGGATGAGTACAAAGGTTTATCTGAATTATTTGATACTCTCTTGGCTGAGTAAAACAGGTAAACTTTTAGTAAAAAATGAACACGAGTAATTTTCGTACCTTTTACCAAGCGTGACAGGTAAGCCATCTTTGGTCCAAGAGAATTGTTGCTCGGGAGATCCAGCAGCTTGACAGAGTAAAGTCACCCGGTCCATATGGCTTGTCAGAAATGCCAGTGTGCCGATTGTTACATTGATATTTTTCTCCAGAAATACATGAGTAAGATTTTTCCGCAAAATCGTGGGATTTTGTTTCTCTGTCTGGCGATTCACATCTTTATTGCTAAAGGTTTCAGAGGCGTTTGGGGTTTTATCTAAGAATTTTGCATTTGATGCATTCTCCTCAAGAGGCATTTTCCACTTTTCTACTGTTGGTTCCGGTCTCGAGGCTTCGGCTGCTAACTGATACATGAGCAGAGAGGCGTAATCTTCTGCTAATTCGCCAGACTCGATCCACAGGCTCACGTTGCGTAAAAGTTCTTCAAACTGACTGGCGTCCATACTGTAGGCTCCCCGGAAAATTGCGGCTTTTAGTTGCTTATCGTAAAGCTCTCGAGAATCGTATGAATCTGCAGAGTTCGTCTTTCCCTTTGAAACCAAATGATTTCCAAGAAGGCGGAGGAAAACACGGTCAGAGGCCTGGTTGTTGTCCAGATAAAATTCATTCTTTTCACTCCAGTTATGCCACATCTTGCCCAGTTGAGTCCATTTCTCTTCCAATCTGTTGGATCCATTGTGACCAGTTTTCTCTGGTCCCAAACTTTGTCCCGTTTTTGTTTTAGCAGACGCAGGCGATTCGATTAATTTGTTATCATTGCCAATCAGCTTGAGGACAAAAGTATCACTCACTGATCCAGCAATGCAACTATATATTCCAATATCCTCATCTTTGAGGTGATGAATTTTCAGTGAACCCGATTTAGTGATACCAATTCGTTTGGTATTTTGTAGATCTTGGCCATCTTTTGCCCACCTAATTAGGGATTTCTGAAATCGTCTTACGGGGCATTTAATCACAACAGAGGTTTTTGGAAGCAGATAGGCCCGACCACCGATGCTGAAATGTATCCGTTTTTCCTGCCTGGTTTGAATGTACACTCGGTGGAGACCGATGATCTGAGGGTCCCGGGTACTCTGCTTGTGGGAAGCCTTTGCTTTGGGGTTCTTTCTGACCTCTAGAAAAATGCACAAGTAAAACGTGAACAAAATGCTGAGGAACGGTTCTGCTCAAACTGGAATACTTGGAAGCAGTACGACTTATTCTAATGCAGCAAACATTTTTTTAAAAAAAAACAGAGTGACTTACTTTCAGGAGCAATAGTAACAAAGCCTGAAGGTTACTCAGTTTGTAAGAGGTTATGTTCCCACCACCCTTCCTGCTGTGATGTGAACAGCAAGACATCTTTTTCTACCAACCCTCTTTCCCAAAAACTAATACAACTTGCTTGCCAATGACGAAGCCAGTGGCACACAGGATGCATTTGATATACTGGGCTTGATTTGAAACAGTGCTCTCAGGCTCAGCCCAGAAAGGGGCTTTAAGAATGGGTTTGAACACACATGGCGAAGTTACCCGCAGACAACTTTTGAACATGGAACAAACAGGGTGGTTAAAAACAGGAAAGAAATGTGTTTAAAAGAGGTTTGAGCTTCCACCTGGAATGGCCCCCCGGGCAATGGTTTCCCGTTGCCCTGATGGGGAAAAGCCCCACTTGGAAATTCCGTACCACTGGTTCTGGACGGGAGTGGAAAAATGCAAAGTTCCTGCAAATGTTTATCTAGGGTAAAACTACTACATTGTCAGCGTGCCAATGACAAACTATGGAACATTGTTGAGGGAGTGTAGCAGGAGCTTTACCCTGGATATAACCCATGTCAAATCTGACTGGGAAAAGCTTGGGGGGGGGCCTGGAATGAGTAAAGGGAAAAAATATCCATTTCTGAGCGTTGACATGCTTCAATCTTGATCAGTATTTTTTTAAAATAAAAGTTGCAATACAAAACTATATCTGTCTGGAGTCTATGCTTAGCGTGTTGCTCATGTTTTTTTCATACTGCAAGCAATAGGTCTTAAAATCTGTTGGATTTGCTTCAAATGTTGGAGCCTGCAGACGTTTGGCACACGAGGACTGGGAATTTTCCAGGAAAATAATTGTCAACCAACAAAAATCTGTTTTACTTAATTAAAAGAACATTTCATACATGTGAATGTTTTAACATCTGCATATGATTCTTAAATTGAACAAATAGGGGGAAACTTTGAAACTGTTTACTGCAGAACCAAAACAGGCTCTCAAACTTTCCACTTTTGAACAATATCAGCAACTTTCATGTACGATAACATCTCAAAGAGCTTCACAACAACGGGGTTGGACACTGAGCAAGGGAGAAGGGGATGGAGAAGGTGGAGGTGACCATCGGCTTGGTTGAAGAGCTAGGTTTTATGGTGGGACTTGAAGACAGACAGAGAGAGGTGAAGTGGAGAGGTAGAGGGAAGACTTTCTAGAGTTTAGTGACAGAGTAAATGAAGGATAAGCCACCAATATTGCTGCGGAGGGGGCGGAGGGCACTTAGCAGGCCTGAGTTCACTGAGCTGACAGGGTAAAGCAGAGGATGAAGAAGCTCAGAGAGATAGGGAGGTGCTCAGACATGAAGGGATTTGTAGGTGAGAGTGCAGATCTTGATGTCGAGCAGTTTGGAAATAGGGATCCAGTGGAACCCGGCGAGAACAGAGGTGATGGGGTGGGGGGGGAGGGGTGCAGAATTTGGTGTGGTGTCAGAGTTTGGGAATGCCGGATAATAAGAACAATCAGTGGGAACCAGGCTGTCATAACCTCGCAGCACTTGCATCTTACAACAGTAAAGACAAATGTTTGTTTGTAGGGGGTTACACTTAGTTTCCTATGAACAAACAAACAATCAGACTAGCTTTGATATGTACTGTTTGGAACTCGTTACGAGTCACTTACTTTTACAGGTAGACATGCTACAGGTTTTAAACAGCGATGGAATGGGGAATCCACTGCACATTGATTGGTTTATTGTGATCTGTTGACCGTTAGCTGCAAGCCGATGGCAGATCCACTCTCTTCTCTGAATCCCTTCTCCGCAGCTTACAGAACACTGGAAACAAGAGATAATGCAAACAGAATATAAAACCATCTTGTCTATTAAACCTTCGACTATTTCAGTGTGAATTGCCAAAAATCTCGAGCCGGAGTAATGTACTTATATTACAGGCAGCTTCAATTTAATTTAATTAACGCCAGATAAGATGCCGAAACAGAGACTGTGCTGATTATTTTATTGCTAAAACAAAACAGGAAAATCTTTTCAGCAGACTGGTAAATGCTCATAGCATCCTAGCAACATTAATTGTAAAACCACTAAAGTAAATTTGAACATTGAATCAAAGACACTCCGAATTAGAGTTAGGGTTAGCTGTTCCACCCAACAATACTATAAAACATGCATCTGATAAACACTTCATGGTGAGACATGTTCCTTATTTACCTCTGACCACCCCCCTAAAGCCAAGTGAGGGGCACAGTCAATGTTCACACATGGCTTCTGCGGAAGTGGCTTGGGATCCAGGCAGAACTCCTCTGGAAGGCTTAGGAAACTTCCGTCAGTCACAAGTTGTTTGCACTGCACTTTGCGGGACTGCAGACCTCCTCCACATGTTTGTGAACACTGTATTAAAAAATGAGAACATTAAATAATTAACTTGATAAACAGAGCTTATTAAACATTAACCTTCCCTTCCTTCCATTAGAACTTTTCTGTGTCTGGCTCTTTATTAATGTTAACAAACGACACCCGAAGCTGTGCATGTGTAGGGATTAGGAGGTTTAAGTGTGAGGTTACAGTCTCACAATCAATGTGATGAGGAGCAGAAAGTATAGTCCAGGCTTCCTGTTCCATATTCCTCTAATGCTGGAAGTAATATGACTTCACTCCCACCATATGACACAGTACTGATGAAGAGTACATTCAGGTCCGAAGTCAATAGTGGGTTTGCCGCCTAAACCACTGGCACTTATATTGTGCTTTTATGGAGATTGTACATCTCCAAGTGCTGGCAATTTTTTAAGTTGAACTAACAAATTCCTTTTTCTATTATTATAATTATTATTTAGTAGATTATTCGATCATGGGAGGGGAGAAGGGGGTCATGCCCTCATCTGACACCCCCACCCCCACACACTTTCCAGCAGAGGCTCTTGATCACAATCAAGCGTGAGATTGCAACATTCCCTCTTAGGATCGACTTTGGTAGAAGCGCCACATTCACAGTGTGTGAGATGTGCGTTATTTTAACGGAACGATTATCTTACAACCGACTCTTTTGTTTTCCCATTCATCCCACAGTTCCATTATATGTGTGCTTTAAATCTGCAGCTGTTTCACATCAGCATTGCCAGTGTAAATGTAAAGCAGTTATTTACTCCAATTTTAGTTTGGAGAAAAAACTCTCACCTCCTGAAGTTGGCTGTGAACCAGTGTAATTTGAATCAGGCTGGCGTAAACAGTCTGATTCAAATCCCCCATCACTCTCTTCCCAGAGGGAAACTACAATTCTGGCAATCTGATCCTGTCTGGCACATACACTAGGTCACGGCAAAGTTGCACTTCGAAGATTTCACATTCAGTGTCTATCAGTTTGAATCAAACTGCATCTGATCTTTCAGTATGAAGATGGCTATAGACAAAACTTTACATCATCTTATCTGGGGTTTGAAATAACCACAATACAAACTTTGGCTTCTTGAATATATACATTGTTTTAAAAATAAAACAATGTTTGCATTTGGTACAGTGCCTTTCATAACAGGAGGACATTTCAAAACTCTTCATGGGATTTACTGTGAAGCATAGTGAGTGTGTATTCTGTAGCAATGTCATGCAATAAATGACCAGTTGTATCTGAAGGGTTGTTGACAAGGATACCGAGAGACACTCTCTTCTATTTTTAACAAGTGTCCAAACTACCACCTGAACACTCAGGTTTAACATTTCATCTATAGGATGGCACCTCTGATAATGGAATACAACTCCAATATTGTATTTGAGTATCAGCCTTGACAATGTGAGCTCCTCTTCTCCATCACCAACTGGCTCTTCCACCCACTCTCTCATGCCTCGTCCATCCTCACTCCAATGCTAACTGAGCTACAGGATTCGTGGAGTCCTGTAGCTCAGTGGTTAGAGCACTCGCTTTGCAAGTGAGAGATCTGAGTTCAATTCCAGGCAGGGCGAAACCTTGGGCAAGTTTCCTTACTCCACACGCCTAATAATAATCCCTCCCAAAACGAAAAACAATAATAAATTGGTCATTTTCAATCTACGACTGTTTGTGGGACATTGCTGTGCGCAATTGGCTGCCGCGTTCGCCCACACATATACAGTCAATTCACTTTACAGTATATTCTGTGAAGCGCTTTGGGACGTCCTCCCGACGTAAAAAGCGCTATATCAAATGCAAGGATTATTATTATTATTATTATTATTATTATTATAACTGCGAGTTGATGCTGGACTTCCTCAAATCCAAAGTTGAGGGGATTCGCTCAGCTGCTTCTGCCCAGCCATCTACTACCTGCTCCCCATCTCCCTCCCTCACCCCGGCCCCGACCCCTCCACATCCCTCCCTCCACATCTTTGAATCTGTCTCCCACTCCTCTCTCACCACCACTATAACCCGCATGAAACCGACCACCTGCTCCCTCGACCCCACCCCTACCCCTCTCCTTACCTCCCAGCTCCACTTTCTTGCCACTCTACTCACAGATATCATAGACCTCTCCCTGTCCACTTGTACTATTCCCACTCCATTAAAACCATCCGTCATCACTCCTATCCTTAAAAAACCCTCTCTGGACCCATCTCTACTCTCAAAACTACCGCCCTATCTCCAACCTCCCTTTTCTCTCCAAGGTCCTGGAACGAGTTATTGCTTCCCAGGTTCGTGCCTTCATCTCCCGCCACTCCCTTCATGAACCCCTCAAATCGGGTTTCCGTACTACCTACAGCACAGAAACAGTGCTAGTCAAAGTGACAAATGACATCCTGTCCATCTGAGACCAGGGCTCCCTCTGCCTCTTCGTCCTTCTTGACCTCTCTGCTGCCTTCGACACCATCGACTACTCTATCCTCATCCACCATCTCTCCTCTTACCTCAACCTTCCAGGATCTGTCCTTGATTGGTTCAGATCGTACCTCTCACACCGCCTCCACTTCATCTCCACAAACGGTTTCACCTCAAGCCCTCACACTGTCTTGTGCGGCGTTCCTCAGGACTCTGTCCTTGGTCCCTTGCTCTTCAATATCGATATGCTCCCTCTTGGTGAAATCATCCGCAAACATGGGGTCAACCTCAACATGTATGTGGATGACCCACAACTCTACCTCTCTGCCTCCACCCTTGACTCCAGGACCACTGTTGTTCTGTCAGAATGTCTGTCAGACATCAAGTGCTGGATGAGAGCTAATTTTCTTCCGTTGAACGTCAACAAGACTGAGGGTTTCCTGATTGGCGCCATCAGCGCCTCCACACCTCAGGCGCTGACAGCATCACCATCCATGATTGCACACTCCACCTTGCTAAGCCAGTCCGGAACCTTGGCTTCTTCTTTGACCCTCGACTATCCTTTCTACCCCACATCTGTGTCATGAACCACTCTGCCTTCCCCCACCCCCGCAACATTGCCTGGCTCCGCTACTGTCTCATACTGCAGTCCACCGAAACCCTCGTACATGCATTCATTACATCGAGGCCTGATTATGCAAAGTCCTTGTTTTTCGGCCTCCCCAACTCCTCCCTCCATAGGCTGCAGATCATCCAGAACCCTGCAGCCCGTGTCCTCTCCCACACCTCGCCTCGCCTCATTTCCTCCCTTGCCTCCTTCAAGATCCATCTCAAGACCCTCCTCTTTGACCGTGCTTTCGATCACCCTGCTTCCCCCCCTGCCCTCCGCCCTCCCCAATCTTGACCCCCCAGCTTGGGTCCGAAACACCGACTGTCCAGCGCCTTGGGATGTCCTCCCAAAGTGAAAGGCGCTATACAAATGTAATTTTATTGTTGTTGTTGTCAAAGTCCTGATGTGGGGCTTGAACCCAGAACCTTCTGACTGTGAGGCAAGAGTGCTCAACTGAGCCATGTTGACACATAATTGGCTACATTGTCTATAAAAGGAAGCTGTCATCTGAGAATGACCACAATGGGTTTGTGATATCAATTTGGTATTCTTCCTGCAAACACTTGATTGATGCTCCCTTACCGGCTGCCATTTTTCTTTGTGCCATGATGGAGGGCAATCAAACTGATTACAGGCCTGCAGTTCAGAGGGTTTTGGACCCAAACATTCCTCGTCAGGAATGATAGTGGTATCCTCGGCATCATGTGCTACTATACGTAAGCAGAAAACATCTCTCGTCTGTATTCCAACTCCACAAGTAGCAGTACATTGTTTCCAGGATCGTGTGTTCCATCTGATAAGTAGAAGAAATTACACATTAAAGAACATTACCACTTGTGGGAGGAATGTTATTTACAGCTTCAAGTTTTAGTTCGCCCAAGCTCCAATAAGCCAGATTTTAGTTTAATCAGATGCTGATAATTTGCGATAGAAGCTATAATCAACAACAGCCCTGTGATGAAATATATTGCTGGGTGGTTCTCTTGGCCAAGATATTTATATACGCTGCTAGCTTTTTATCTCTAGAGACTTACTTCACATTCACTGTAGGAAAAAAAAGAGATAAAGGTCAAGCCTGATCTCACAGATGGCCATTAAGGAATCCTATTTTTGAAAATGATGAATTTCCATGTTACTTATGAACAGAATTCCCTGCTCACTTTTCTAAACTCTGCAGCTGTGTTGAAGAGAAATCCAACTACCCTGTATTTTAATTTTACATCGTTTCACCATGTGCAAGAGGGGAACAATCCGATTTTTTTTTGCTTACTGGTTGCGGAAACTGTTTTCTGTACAATCTCACTATAAAAAAATGTAAAATGAGCCAATATTATGCTGAGATCTGGATAGAAAAAAAACGATAATCAAATACAGTTTAAATGTAAGGTTAAATTAGTTGGTGTCATAAATCACAATGTTAAATATATCTACAAGGTTTGAAATGCCCAAAATAAAACTGATGAGTAAAGTTCTGCAATGTTCTGGATTTCCTGCTTTTCATACGATTCATAAATATGAATGACTCAGAGTACCTTCTCATTATAACATTTGTCATCAATGACAAGATGTGAGGTAATTACAAGGAGGTCAAATGACATTCATGATCTGGAACAATTATGGTAATTAGCTAAGTAATAGCAAAGGGATTTTTAATGTGGATGAATGGAAGGTAATGTATGTAGAAATGGGAAAACCTGGGAAAGTGATGAAACAATGTACATTAGCAAAGGTCAAGGAAGAAAAGAACCTGGGTGTGATGAGTGATCATAAACTGAATGTTTTCAGTCAGTGTGAAGCTGCTATCAACAAAATTAATCAAATACCAGTGTATATCCTAAAGACATTTGACTACAAGTTTTTCTAACTTTGTATAGATTACTGGCAAGGCTACATTTGAAAAACTGTGCGCACCCTGCATTCAAAAAGGACTTTGATGCATTGGTGAAAGTTGAGTGAAGATCAAGGAGGATGATTCTGGGATACAGAGCTCTTCCGTTTGGATGAGAGACCCACAAAACTAAACTTTTTTTATTGAAGAAAAGAAAATTGAGGGGCACAGAAACTTGATCCAGGTTTTTAAAACCGTTTGACCCAGATCTCAAGGACGTACATAGGCTCTGTCAGCAAGCGTGGCCCAGTAGAACAGACTCCCAGCCAAAGCAGTTGATGTTGAATTGATGAAATCCTTTGAAAAAGTTGTTAAATAAATCCATTGTACCTCGTTGATGTGACTTTATCTGGATTTGACAGGATTTTGAATAATGTGCATTTCTTAGGACTCTTATCACTCAGCAAAAAAAAAGAAATCCATCCATAAAGAAACTTGGCAGCAGCAGAGAGCACAATGTCACTACCCAAGTGGTGAAAAACAAGATTCCTCCACACTACAGCTATGTAAAGTTGAAAACACTAGACCGAGATTTCAGTCAGTAAGTATCTGACTGAAATTGATCATATTTCATAACCGGATTGGGTTCTCTTTAAGAATCACAAATTAACTAAGTGCAATTAATCTTAATCTAGTTTCCAATGAGCGTGAAGTCAAAGTACAATTGTCATCATCTGGGATTTGAATTGTCAACGTCTGTTGTCCATTGAGTTGCACTCAATCCAACTTTATTGTCAAATACTACAAAATCATGAAGCATTATATTGTCTGGCAAGCTTACTTAGTAAGCTCCAAGAAGAGAAAGGAATTGAATGAAAAGTTGTTGACATATCAGCTCTTCGTTAATATCAGAAAAGCTAAAAATAGTCCATGACATTTTAAGCTTTAAACTAGAATCTTACAATATTTGCTTTGCACCAGTTGCAGCTAGAGTGATTCATTCAAACCAAACTTGCAACCTCTTTTCTTTCTGTTCATTTCAACCTACATCTGAGGTATAAAACTACACATTTCTATACCCGTAGCATAAATTTGTAGTGATAATGCACATTTGTTACTTTTATCAAAGTGATTTTGAATGTGTTGTGCCTGTTATTTACTTAGTTTTTTTCCCCCCTGTGCAATGGTATGTTGAAAGGGAGAAAGAAGGGAAGTTAAGTGGAATTCTGTTACTCAAAAAGTTCACTTTATCAATCTGATTTTATAATGAGAAATACCCTGGTAAGAGCACTTCTAAATGTATCAAAACTACATCTGGAGAATCACAACAAAGGGCAATAAAGTTTGGGAATAAGTTGCCATTGAAGCAGACACAATTAATGGGTTCAAGTGGTATGTTCAAGCTATACGTTTCTGCAAGGGGAAGACTTTCAAGGATTTGATGAGAGGGCAAGTATGTCGGGTTCAGGACTATCAAAGAAGAGCTGCTCATATTGGACTCAGTTGCCTTTTCCTGTCTGAAAAATTATTTTGTTACTTGATTCTTCCTCCAATTCTGGCAGTGTCTTTTTCTAGATTTATGAGGATCATCTGTTTCAATTTTCATCTTCAAAAGAAAACATTATCCTTCACTTTTATAACCAGAAGATCCTTTTATCATTATGCTCACATCGTACCCAGTTTAAGCTACTGTTGAGGATCAAAATATAACAAGGAAAAGAAAGTTGGGAAAAGAAGGAGCTAGTTTCAATTCACTCAAGCCAAACCTACAGTACTTCAAACAAAAAAAATATAAGGAGCAATGAGTAATTAATGTCCATCTTCAAGCTAAATCAGCATAAATAAAATAACATTTGGCTTAAAATAATATTAAACTTTGTTTAATACTCTACTTACTTTGAATAACACAAAGAAAAGGCACATCAGCGAAGAAAAACAATTATTGTTGACCCTAAATCTTTGGGAGAAGAGAACAGTAAATGTGATCCTGTGTACAGCATTTAAAACTGATGGGAAATATCTCTGTGGCTTTTCAGCCATTTTTCAATGACACTTTTAAGTAAAGTTCTGCTGGCACATCTGTTGTCATGTTTGGCTTATCTGACCAGTGTTTTATCTAGTAGGTGTCAGCACCACCTAGTAGTCCAGCACTCTTAACTTAAATAATAATGGAAACTTCATGAAAGCGTACGTCATATAATATTGTCTTTACGTGCAGAAAGTGTTTTACACATCAGGGATGGGTAGCATGATTCGAGAGCGAGACTTTGGCTTCAATATTTTCCACATATGCTTCCCTGCATGCAGAACTCCTAAATTTGTTTTTCTTGTTACAGCCTGAATGAATTCAATGAGAAGTGAGAGCTCCTGCTCCACCTCACTCTACTGCTGGAATCAAAATCACTTCACTTCACTTCCAGCAGCACAAACAAGGGTTGAACTCACAAAGAAAGAATGTCTTTCATCCTTTGGCAGAAACAAATATTCCCAATATGTTCGGTTCTTTAATGCCTTTACCCCTTTCACAATAAGCTACATAATGTTTTTAAATGGCGAGCAAGAAAAACAAGTTTCTCTTTTAATGTTAATGTACAATGAGACAGTATTATAACGGGAGTCCCTTCCTTTTTCACCAATTTTTTCAGAATGCGTGAACACCCTTTAACCTCACTAATACAAAAAAAATCCTTGCATTTGATGTAGCGCCTTTCATATCAGGAAGACAACCCAAAGTACTTCACAGGTTACACTGCAACGTGCGTAAACTGCATATTTTATAGATGAATGCGGCAGGCAATTTGTGCACTGCAATGTCCCACCAACAGCCAAATATTGGAACGATCTCCAAAATCTTAAAAATTCAAGACTTGAATTTTGCCCAAACAACAAATTAGCATTAATTAATAATAATGTTACTATTAATGTCTAATGTTTAAGAGGAGTAATTGTGTTCAGTGGGTTCCCTCCGTCTGTATTTGACAAAAAAAGTCAATAAAATGTATCTTTATCAAGTTTCTTACGCACCTATGATTTGGCCCAATATGTCTAGCTCTATTTTAATTGTTTTCCACTCTACTTCCTTGTCTTTTCACCAAAAGGTATTATTTTATCTTTCTGCAGACATTCATCTGGTTAAATGGCTTGTCCATTTGTCTGAAATAGTCTTTGAATTCTCTTCAAATTAATAGAATATTAAAGCTAAACTTTTGAAATACATCCGCTTTCAAGTAACTATCCGTGTTCTGCTGATTATAAAGCTGGGAAAAAGTACAAATTTACTGCAATATACAATCCTGATATGTACGAAACAGCTTTAAAAATATTAGGTGCAGCGAAAGCATGAAGTGTCATTTTATCCCAAGCCTTTGCTGGTTATTACATCTTTCATTTGGAAATCTTCCACAACTGTGTGGATCTAATGATGCATGACTGCTGAGATATGCGCAGATCTGGAGAGACATGAGAATGCAGACTTTGCTACTGATCTTTCAACTCAACCACACGGTTCATTTACAAATCCGTGTGTCATCACTTACGCTCTGCAGACACAAGAAAAACATTTACTAAACCTTTTCTGACATGATGGCTATACACACACACTGGATTACATACATTAACCATGAGAGTGTTGGTTAGAAGTTACTACTGTATGTTATCAAACAAGAAATGTTATTTTCTTTTGATGGCATTTCAATAGCAAACAAATATCCCTTGCTACAGAAGTAACTGTTAGTGATATCAACATGTCTTAACATTACAGCATTGCACAATTTGATGTGCACAATTCAGATTTTTGCATACAAAAAAACCCCAAGAAGGCACACTTGAAACTTTTAAGTCTTTTAAAACTCATGGGATTAAATGCAAATTAGCTGAATGGAATGTATATTGTACATTATCAGTAGGGGCCAGAAAGTGAGAATAATTGATGCATTTTGTTTAGGGACAATGATAAGCAGAAATTCCAGGGATCTGGTCTGGATCCTTTGCTGTTCATACTATTCATAAATATCTTGAAGTATCTTGTTGTATTATTATACAACTTGCTGGTGATAAAAGGCCAGGTTAACAAATTTAATGGAGATGATGTTAACCAAGTTGTACTTGGAAAGCCTGAGGAATGGCATTATCAAAACTAAAGCGTAAGTTTTTTTTTAAACTTACAGATTTGCAGAGAAGCACATACCTGGGAGGACAAGGCTCAACATTGCAGGTTCGAACCATATGAGGTGGACGTTTGAAGCTATCACACGATCGGTCGTCCATAATTTCGTGTGTCTGCATATTAAGACATACAACTATAGTCTCTTGTTTACCTAACAGTTAAAACAAAAACATTTCAGGAATCAGAATCACACAAAACAGGTTCAGTTAGTAGCTCAGTGGTAACTTATGCACAGTTTGGTCAAGCACACACAGTAAATCAGCCATATGATTTTATGAGTCACATTTTGATGTCGGTTTCTGTGACTTCTAAACCTGGAGCTAAACATTGACACCAATGTAATGTATAGATTTGGATTTTATACAGTATATTAGTTGTTCTCTTGCAATGGCTTCGTGCAACTTTCTCTCTTCTGGGCTAGACTCTTTGAAGTGCATCAACACAGCTCCAGTATCAGCTGAGAAATGGTATGCTTGCACCAAGGGTCTGTTGCTACTGCTGTAGGGTTTTTTTTTCTGTCTGGAGGTAAAATGCTTTGCAATTATTACAAGATACAGCCGCCCTCCTATGCTCCCTGACCTGGTGAAGAATTAACAAAATTCACAGCTAAGACAAACAAATTTTCTTTTGGGTGGTGGGAGTGGTGGGGGGGAGGGTGCAGTTTGGGGGGTTCAGAACATTTAAAAAAAAAGGTTTCAACGCAATTGTCATTGGAACGTTTCAAGGATACCTCCTGCGCATGACGCTGAGCACGGGGTGAAGCCTTCGTACTCCCAATCTAATTGTTCTTCCATCTCATTATTGTCACCATAGTGGACACCTTCTGACTCGTAAAACACAGTGACCCCGTCACAAGGTCCCAGGTTACAAACCCGCTCGCCAGCGGGTTTGGGTCCTTCACATTCTTCATCTGGAAGCTCCTCTTCCGTTTGAGAGAATGAGAGAAAAACAAGGCACTTCACGACACGCACTTGTTTGCCAACTCCACAGGAAGTACTGCACTGTGTCCACGCCTCCGGAATAAACCTGGAAATGATACCAGTGAACAATAAATGGCACAGCCGTCAGAGTAGCTTTATTATAATAATAATCATAATGATAATCCTTGAATTTGATATAGCGCCTTATTATGTCATTGAGACGTCTCAAAGCGCTTCACAGAATACATTGTAAATTTCAGTGACTGTTTATTTTGTGGGTCAAATGCTAATCACACTTCCATCAATTATCATGGAAACATTGATATTATGATCTGATCTGATAACAAAAAGATAATTTTTGCCATGATACAGTACCTTTTACAGGTGAAGGACGTCTCAAAGTGCTTCACAGGATTTACTGCAAAGTGTGTATTTTATGGGCAAAAATCCTCTAAGATGGGAGAATAATTGTGTGGCCTTTTCTGGTAAACAAAAAAGTTATGTTTGCTCCCATAACCCACCCTCCTCCCCCTGAGTAAAGATGAGTGACCTTGAAATATAAGAAGACAATTTTTCTCATTCAAAACAATGGTGAATAGTTTCCAGTAGACATACTGTTAATTTTACAAAGTCCAATGTATATTTGCACAAATTCCATTCTCTTATGGGCACTTTCCTTGCGCAAAAGTGCGTTATGGTTGAACAGATGCAGCATTATGCAGAACGTGAATGTGAAAACGAAAGCTTAGGAACTCACGTTGGCTCCTCAGATTCTGCTCTGGGTTCCAGCAGTTCCTGAGCTTGTTTAATCCAGGGTATTTTAGCCTCCACAGGAAGTTTTTCTGGAAATACCAATGCATAAATCAAACGTATAGGTCCCCAGACTCAATGAAAGCAATTTTAATTTAAATATCATTCAATAAGGAACACATTTTTTCCACGCCAATTTAATGCACTACTTCCCTTATATTAAATGTGCAAAATATTATTAGGCAAGAGAGAAATTCCTTCCTCTAGATGCTGGTTATTCGATTTGCATCTATGCAGAGTTATTCTCCCCCACTGCCTTAGAACAGTGGAAGAATATGGTCCCTGGGTTTCCATAAAAGGTGTTGCAGTAACGCACCAGTGTTGCAGTTCATTGGCCACATATGGAGCTGTACTTGGTTGAAATGCAATTTGCCGACATGGATGGCTTGGTTTCAAAAAATTTACATGTCCGCACTTCCTCGAGGTTGATCCCTCGCCTGCGGATTTGACTTTCCAGTTGGTTTTTTTTGCACCACCCGAAACAAAACTCAAGCAGCTTTTTTTTAACCTTTCAGCAGAAATACAGTACCATTAAGCCCATCGCCTAGAAACTTACAGTTTCTTGTATAAATTACCTTTGGTTTTATGACATGGAATTGGCACAGTACATTCCTCCTTTATGTATGGTTTTAGCAGTGGGTTACATCCGCCAGTATGCTGCCCTCCGTGGTCTATACACAATACGACTCTATAACGCAGACCTCGACCACATGTTACTGTGCACTACAAGGAAACAAAAGAGAACCTTACCAGCTTCTTGCTTACAAAATATATAAAGGTTAGACTCACACTAGTAGTTAAATCAATAATCACAGTAGGGCCCCAACTATGTTACGAGTGCTGCACACTAACAATTACATTTTATTGATTTCTTTACTCTAAGGCACAAAGTATTTCAATGGGACATCAGACTGGGTCATCTAGGACAGGTTCCGTTATGATATGTATCTATCTGCTGGATGTAGAAAGGTTTTTACAATTCTAATAACCTACGTGTATTATCCATTCCTGTGTTGTGGTATTGTCACTACACATATATATATATATCCAGACAGACATACATACAGGTAAGCTTGTGTAAGTCTAATCTTTATAAATCGCGTAATTGCTTGAATCGGACCTGAGTCCGAGTCCCATTCAGTTTCTTATCAAAACCATTTAGATTTCTTTGCACTAGTCGTATTTATCATTTCCTAACTCATAACGCTACTCCCGAATCCTCCATTACTCCTGCACTTACCAACTGTATTGAATCATGGAAAATGATGTCCAGACCCGTGGACGCACGCGCATAAGAACTTCATTTCCAGAGATTCAATGCGATTGCAATACTCTCCCGTACATGTGCATGCGGCAATTGGGTCAAGACGCATTGAATCGCGGGAAACATAGTCTAGTCACTGCATGCACACTCATCGGCTGCATTGAATAACACATGCGCAGTGTAGATTATTCATTAAATTGGACTTTAAACAATTACAATTTGCTTGTGACTCAGACTTCGCGCAAGTCATATTAAATATTACGGTCCCGACTGATATGATTTATGTGATTTTTACTGTATATACAGGGGAACCCAGTTAGGGTGCCTCTCGATGTAGCATGGCCTCGCTTCTGTCTGCTGCATGTGCAAACTAACCGAATAACCTGCTTCTTGTCATAAATATCAGCCAACTTCTGGATTGTCAGGTCACATCCTGCGCACTGTGTGCATGTACAGGGAGCATCACCAAAGTCACTCCCTGCACACGGCACATGAGCTGACAGCATGACAGCTATACACAGGAAGCTTCGCTCATGTCACTTCACAAAGGAATCTGTTTTTCCTGATTAAAACATCGAAAACGGTGCATTTAAAAGAAAGTTGCATCCACGCCTACGTTATGCAAATGCGTCAGAATTCATCAGGAAAAACAATAGAGTGAAGTGAAAAAGGGCTGGGTGTCTTACCGGCGACCATTCCATGGCTCTCCATTTTGGGCATTCGAAAAGGTTGCAGGTTTCAACTAATAGTGGTTTCAAGGCATACATGCACTTCCACTCCTCCACCTGATTAATTTCTCCATACACATTCTCTTCAATACAAGAAACACTGCGCTTTTGCACTCCACCTCCACAGGACATAGAACATGCAGTCCAAGGGTTGGTCTCCCAACTGGGTAGGAAAAAAAAATGCAGCAGATAAGTAGTCAGAAGACATCCTGAAAGATGGTATGACTTGGTGCGAGGGAAATAAGGAGCCATCGAGCTCATCCTTGCGCATCAGGAAGATATTTCAAAGCGCTTCACAGGATTTACTGTAAAGCATAGTGACTGTGTGTTTCAATTATCAGTAACATAGATGTACAAAAGTACATTTTTTACATTTTGCCACAGGGACTGCAGAGCCTTCTTCATTTAGTCATGATCACGGGTTCTCATTATTTCACCACGCTCGATTGCTTGAGGTTATTTTTACATCATTAAATGTTGTACAAAGTTCTCCAACAAATATAGTAGACAGTTAAAAAGCATTATCTAGGATTAACAAATATCCAGGAATACTGTCAAATTTAAAATACTGTAAAATTAACAGCCTCCCAACTAATGAATTCTAAACTCTTACTTTATTTTTATTGCACATACAAACCAACCTTCATATATCAATGGCTCGCTATCTACAGTAAACACCTCTAAAACACAGCAGGAAATGTGGGATGTCAAAAGTCACCACTTATTTTCAAGTTAAATGATCCCAAAAACATTTGCGAAATAAATCACATGAAGCTGGCGCTCATTTAAGATACAACGATGAAATCATAAACTTGCAAAACATCTGAAAATAGTTGCAAAGCAGCAGCAACAGGGAATCCTGGAAATTGTCACTGCCTCGAGGCAGTACATTAATAGTCTACTCACTTTTCAAACAGGCAACACCGCAGCAAGACTTTAAATGGAAACAAACAGCATAATGCATTAATTCAATTAGGGGCACAAACAAATTGAATTTTACTGATTTCCTGAAAAGGCGAAGACAGGAAAAATAAAGCGTTCCTCAAACAGCTAAATGGCAAAGCAACCAACTGAAAGAAAATTGGTCACAGCTACTTGAAGGATCTGGCTGAGATTTCTTATTAAGCCTTTATAACAAGCTTGTCATCACCTTGTAAACCAACAGACAAATAGAAAGAGGAGTTTAACTGACGATTTCAGATTGTTAACGGAGATTGAAATCAGAGTATTTACAAAACAATTTTGTAAGGTTGTGAGAAATGAAAGAGTAACCTAACATTTTCTTCAGGAATAATTATAATCTTTGCATTTGATATAGCGCCGTGGCACATCGTTGAGATGCCTCAAAGCGCTTCACAGGATATACTATAAAGTGAATTGACTGCGTATTTTGTGGGCCAAATGCTGTAGCGAATTGCACACAGCAGTGTCCTAGAAATAGTCGTGGTTTGAGTGATTAAAATATTTTTTTAAGGGATTATTACCCCTGGAAAGCAATCAACTAACAACTAAGTTCCAACTAAGTGTTTTGTTTTTAAATGTTTAGTTCCCAGACCTCAGAAATAACTTAATAATAATAATCCTTGCATTTGATATAGCGCTTTTCACGTTGGGAGGATGTCCCAAAGCGCTTTACAGAACACACTGTAAAGTGAATTGACTGTATATTTGTGAATGCGGCAGCCAATTGCGCACAGCAATGTCCCACAAACAGGCGTAGATTGAAAATGACCAATTTATTATTGTTTTTGGTTTTGGAGGGATTATTATTAGGCGTGTGGAGTAAGGAAACTTGCCCAAGGTTTCGCCCTGCCTGGAATTGAACTCAGGACTCTCGCTTGCAAAGCGAGTGCTCTAACCACTGAGCTACATTCAATTACTTGTATAATCATCACATTGTTATTTTGAGATTTGCTAACAAGACATACTACTGGAGAGGTCAATGGATACTACAGTATTTCATAAGCATAATTCTACATTTCTCACAACTCTGGACTATCTAAAGTATACATACCGAGGAAGTGGCTGAAAATGATCATAGATTGCAAGTTGTTTGAAACCATCGCTGTGGGAGAGAATAAGCACCATTTAATTAAACGTTTAAATGCGTATTTAGAAATTCAATTGTATAGTTCCATTTTACAATACAATATTACAATGCACTATGCTATAGTGTGAAAACAAAATTGTATATGTCTTGATATTAACACAACGATACACATGCTGTACAATAGTAAAGGGGTGAACGTTGAGAGAATCACAAGCGTTCCAGCATTTTATTTGGTACAGCAGTCACAAATTGGGTCCAATTCTTGTAGAAATGGCATATACAGTAGAACCCTGCAGTAATGCACTTCATTACAATGTGGGTTCTCTTATAGGATGATTGGGGTTGGATTCCTGAGATCCGTTTACCAAAGAAATCCCAAATGCGTGCAGAAAGCCAGCTGGCTTAAGTAAAAATTGGCTTCCTGCTCACTAAAAAAAAGGTTAACTTCCAGGTAGTCAGTTCACTCCTTGTGTATTGAGCAGCAAGAGAGGTTAGCGGCGACCTAATGACTTGGAGGTTGGCCGTTTTTTAGCACAGCAGGCTACCCAATGTTTTGCACACATACACTCACACACACACACACACACACACACATACTTTTTGCCATGAATAGGAAATAATAGAACATGGCTGATATTGCAAATTCTCTGGGTATAAATCAACCCTACAGGGCAACAGGGAAAAGGCAAATAATTGGGCCTGAAAGGTAGGTAAATAGGACTCTGATTGCTCTTTAAATAGAGCCAGCAGGTATACAATGGGCCGAATGGCCTTCTTCTGTGCTGTAAATTTCTATGGTTCTAATAATATATACATTTGTTTCTAAGAATGGGTATATTGAGCAAATTTGATAGCAGGACACCAGCAGTGCTCATCTGTAAACATACCTGGAAGGGCAATGATCCATATTGCATTCCTGTAGTTTAGGTTTGGGTTTTTTATTTTCTGGGTAGTATTTACAATAGTGTTCAGGAACAACACGACCTGAACGTACATCTATACACTCTGCAGAACTAAGCTGGTAACCTAGCGAATGAAAAGCAACAGTTTCACACATTGTCTTGTGGAGAATGCTTATTGAAACAAAAGTCAAGAGCAGTTTTATCACCATAATATTAAGTGCAAAATCTATTGTTTTAAATTCTCCAAATGAGATAAATAACCACAGCTAAAACAACTTAAAAAAGAGAAAACTCAGTGATTCCTTCCAGATGCACATGAAATGAAACAAAAATGAAAGACAGTTATCTAAATTATAATTGATATTATTCAACCTTGATTGCAACCATTTCACAGTCTAATCTTCCCAATAAGACTAGAATTACTAGAAAACTCCATAGAGTATGTGGCCATGCATATTTATCTCTATAACCTCCAATCTTTTTCATAGCCAAGCATCTGTCCAGCTCTTTCTGGTTATGAAGTTGATTGACATAGCAATAACTATTTGTGATGGACTTTAGTTATTCTCCACTGGATGTTAAATTTACTGACTCTAGATGTACAAATGGAAAACCTGATGTGAGCTCCGGAAAGATCAGTAAATTTGTCAATGAATGGAAAATGACTGCTGCACTCCTGAAGTATGGGGACTTTGGAAGCATGTAATCGTTCTCCATATTATATATATTATGTATAACATGAATGACTTTACCTCCCCCGCAGGTCACTGTACAGGGGTAGAAATCAGTCTCTCTCCACTGATGACTGATTGGTTGATAGAAGATAAACTGGACCACACTGTCCTTTGTTGCGATATTCCTGGTCTGTGACGATTATAGGAGAAAAAAAAGAAAATAAATTAAAACATAGCTTTCAACATGAAACGGCAGTTAAGAAGAGAGAAGAGTAAACTTTTGAGAAACAGATCTAAATAACTGGCTTGACCAGGTCAACGATTCCCTATTTAGACTCTTCTCACAGACTATTTGGAATATTCTGTTTCAAATCACATTTTTTATTGTTCTAGTCTGTTTATAATTTCACACTGGAGCCTGGTTTTATTCCATACAGACACACATATACACACACACAAATACATTCCCTCAATGTGATGTATCCCCAGTTGTGCTGTACTGGAACATATTATTACAAATATGTTCCAAATCCATATTAAATCCTGACATATGTATTTGTAACATATGAACTTTCGATCACGGCTTGATTTATACTTGATGGAATAAAAACTTAAAATTCAGAAAATTTGAACATTAAGAAAAGATCATTATCTGCTGATTTAATAATGCCCCTGTTCTAATTTCCTACTGATATAATGTTACAAGTTGAGTGCAGTCCCGTTATATCATTTGAGAATCCATAAAACTCAAACGTGAAATAACAAGTCAACTGTAACATTTCGCCCACAAAATACACAGTCAGTCCACTTTACAGTATATTTTGTGAACTGCTTTGACGTGATAAGTTGCTATATCAAATGGAAGGATTCCAATTGTTATTATTATTAAAAATGACAACCCAGGAAAAATTTGCATCAAAGCAAAAGGGAGACAACCAATTAGTGCATCTAAATGACATTTTATCTATTCCACAAGAGTGGCTGGCACACAATGAAAAAAGATGTTGAATTAAGGCAGTTTGAAAATCTTGCTGAGGTCATAAGGTGTTCGAAAATAGATTGTTGAAAATATTAGATTGTTGTCAAGAAGTCACGTCATGTCCTGAGCAACAATATCTCGGTCATGCTCTTTGGTAAATTGGTTTTGAATGAGTATAATTCCTATCTCGGAAATTTCGTAGCATTTGAAACTCAATGTGATTTTGTATGACAGAAAGTGGTCTTATCTGAAGCGCCTTCAATAGGTCAGGTGCTGTTATCAACCACTCTGAACTATAAGGAAGCTCAGATTAATTGCACTCTGCACTGTAAATTATTTGTTTTCAACATCATTTACAGAGTTGCAAGAAGTACACATTTATTTTCATCATGGTAGCATTGTGGAAATACCCAAATCCTTACCTTAAATCAAGTGCATGATGATGTAACTGGTTCAAGCGCTCATTATAAATACCCACATTTCAATTTAACGAGTTTAAACCTAACCCAAGAAAAACATGGGGAGGGGGCAGAATACTGTCGCCAGTGACCAGTCAGGGTATAATAGCAGGTTTAGTGAGTGGTTGGGAATGCTAAACCTACTCAGTGTATATCATAAATTTGATCCCTGCAGGTCATAAGTAGCACCATCTGAACTTGTTGCAACAATCTGGTGTATGTTACCACTGAAATGCTTCTTTTTATTTTCTGAATGTGCAGAATGTGGTAGGGAACTTAAAATTACTCTTTAAATACATTCTGGTGTATGGTACACTTCCTGGCAACTGATACTTTTCACTCACATGAGTCTTTTTTTCTTCACACTATGAGTTTAAACATTTTTCATCTTCACCCACTCCATGCTCAGTTGAAAGTAGTGGACTGTGAAGGCCATAGCTTTCGATGCTGATACTGTCAGTACAGGTTTGGGGTAAATGTACCATCAGGTGCATCCTCTCCTCTTGTTCTGCAGTAATTTCGTTCTTAGCCTCACAAACATGCAAAAACTGACTCTCAGTGAAAATAGCAGATCAGACTAGACTTTGGACTTGTGTTAGTCAGATATAAATTGAGCAATGACCAGGTGACGGGGAATAATCACTTGTAACTTTCCAAACAATATTCTAAGGCTTCTTTTGTGTCCTTAGAATACTCAACATGAATCTTTTGCTGTTTTGTTGGCGGTTGTTTAAAATCAACAACTGTATTCTATTATAATTTTTCCATTGGACCAAACAATCCTGCAGGAATGAGCACTCACTCTACCAGAATTCTTGGTTGCTATGAGAGATCAAACTGGCTAAGAGTAGAATGGGCAGAAGATAAAATTGAATTTGGTCTCTTTCCAGTCCAAGATTACTGCTGGAAACGATTTAGACAATGCAAAATTCCTCTTACCAGTAATTTGTAATGACTTGGATGAAGTGTGCCTATAATGGAATCATCAAGCTCTTTACACACAGCCCACACGAGGGAGAGATACAGAGAGATAGAGATTTCACCCTCACCTCCCCGATACACATTAACAAGACTTGTGCAAAATGTGGAAAGAAGCCTGAAGAATACAGGCATTGTACCGTATTTAGTTTTTTTCCCAAGCTGTCAAACGAAAAAATCTGGACCAGAGATTTTGGTAACTTTGCTTCAGTTTGAATTTTAGGTTTAATATATTTGAAATGAATCATTCTCATATATCAGCAATATAATATTCTGTAAAGCCCTCTGTGACCAGAGACTTAAGATGGCAAGGGAGAAAAAACGTGATTGGATTTGGGTTCCCTTTCCCCCACCTCCCACCAAAACACAGACCATCCACATTATCAGTGATACAGACTGTACCAATCTATGGTTGGGGAATGTAAAAAAAACACCAACAACTGTTTTGTTCACAATTTTTACTTTAAAACGAATTGGCAACCAAGGAGCTCAATTTGTTGAATGCTAAATCTCCCCCATATGATTACAGCAGCAGCTGCTCAGACAATTTAATAAGAAGTACCGCTGTACGCAAGAATCTGAAAGGACAATTTGAATGTTGTTCAATCCCGCAAGCAGGAACATTGGCGAGCATGACAAAACAAAAAGCCATTTGAACCATCAACCCCGCTTCCTCTACTATCTGTACAAACCTGTGAGGTGGTATCGAGGGGTTTGTGCTCAAACCCTTTCTGCTCCTGATCTATATAAGTGACCTGGACAAGCAGACTCGGTGCAAGGTAGCACAATTTGCGGATGGCACCATAGGGACGGTGTAGAATCAGAAGAGGCAGCCACAATTTTACAGAAAGAGCGCAAAAAGGTATGAATCTGATCTGATCACTGCGAAATTCAATTCCATGCAGATAAAATTTCAATTACCCCAGATACATGGTCCGCAATTAACTCTACTCTCTAATACTGTACTGGTCTCTCGCTAGCTATCTAGCCTTTTGTTTCAAAATGGTTCACCCAGGAATTTCTACAATAAAATCATGCTAACACTCTCCATGTTAGATCACTAAAAACCCCATTTTGCCTAGTGGTTTGGCATATACTTACCAGCAGCTTTCACCATTGTTTAGATTTGCTGTGTCATGGCCAATAATATCTGGAGTAGTGATTTGAATTGTGGAAATGGATACATTTCTAATGATTTCTTTTAGAGAGAAGAAATTCAAGTGTGATTTTTTTTATAGCTCCTGAGGCCGAGTTGTGACTTGAGCCAACATTATGTACTCATGTGGGTTGTGGATTCCCTTACGTGTTGAGGCCATAGGTTTAAATCAAGCTACGTTTCAAACATTTGGCTTCCAGTAGGTATGGAGACAGCTCAGGAGCCAAAATAAAATAAAATTTTTAATTACAAAAAAAGAGTTCAAGTGCTATCATTTACAGAAAATTAATGTTGCGAGATTAATTTCACAACAGTCGGAAATATCAACCTCTCACAGTTACTAAAGGTGACTTGCATATTTTCAAAGCAGCCGAAGAACACGCCGAGGAGTAGACTGGACATGTAGTCTACTGAGTACTGATAATTGACACTGGCTTCACATATCGTTATTAATTTGCATTCAGTTTTACCAATTGTTTCCCAGAATTGACAAAAAAAATTCAGCCAAAAAGAGGTTCCGCAAATCATTTTGTGAAAACATCGAAGAAAAACATTTCTGCTGAGTTCACTCAGAGTTTTTGTGAAGAGAGTGTGTACATCAGAGTAGATGGCAGATAGTTAGTAGGTTTGCTAAGCTTTTGCTAGTTGATGGAAGCAAAATACACCAGTGCTGAAAGTGATTTTTGATTCTATTGGACTTGTATTTTCAATTCTGTGTTCATACCAACAACAACAACAACTTGAATTGATATAGCGCCCCGGAGAGCTTAACAATGGCGGAGTCTGACCCGCAACCAGCAACGGGAATAAAGATATAGCTGTAAATGCTCTGACAACTTTCCCATTATGATAGTAAGGCCCTCACTTGAGTTAACATGATCTTCATCTTTGATCTTATTGATTGATATAACAGTTAGCTGAGCCTGTTATGAGACTGTAACATCACAAAGTGGTTCTAATTACATCAGATTGTGAGAGCCAAGCTCAAGTACCTTATTCAGACACAGGAACCCTGAGATTGCCTTACAGACATCACATATTCTCAGACAAATGATATTTCATGGAAGACATACAAGAGGGTGAACAATTCTGAACTCAGTTGGCCGGTTTACAAGTAAGAAGTATCAAAAATTTGGGTTTGGCAGGGTGGGAGATTAGTTTTTTTAAAAAAAGGTGTTAACTTTTTTTTCCTCTTCTCCATGCCAGTCTATATACCAAGCTGGAAAAATGTGTCTCCCAAATGTCTGCCTATTCTGCTCCAGTACTGGATGGTTCATGAGAGCTCTTCAACACTGACCATAACTTTGATTTTACTTTCTTGAGGATCACTGCTGGTGCAGCGAGGTAGAGTTTATGCAGTTTTGTGTTACTAGGATAATTCCTTGAAGAGGGATTTGCTTGCATTTCACTGGAGCCTTTTGATGATAGTTTTGATTTGCCTCGATATTGGAATTTTCTATTTTGCTCTCCTTCCCGAGAAGATACAACAGCAGTGTGACCTCATGATTACTGAGAATAATTTCACGAGCAAGTGCTATCTCTCCTGCTGTTGAGATCACAACCATTGTAGTATTGGTTGACATTAATAAGGGTCCTACAACAACTTGCACTTATATAACCCACTTCACATAGGATAACGTGCAAGTCTTTGACAGAGATGAGCAACTAGCAGAGCGGAGGGGCTTGGGGGCAAGTGACCATAGGCACGGTCAAAAGGATAGGTTATAAACAGATAGAGGAGAGGCAAAATGGAGGGAGTTTCAGAAGTTAGGGGCAAATAATCTGAAATGATTGATTGACAAGTACCCGCTTATCAAGCCATTGCTGAGATACTGTCCCTCTTAGTACAGTGAACATTCAAATGATTTCACAGTGGGTCCTTACATAAATTATGGCCCCTTTCCACCAAAACATGGTTTAAATATGCAGTTGATGATTTATTTAACTTATATTTTGTTTGTTTTGTTTTTGCCATATAGCTATATGTTTCTCACACAAATTTTCTGCATGGAAAAGTATAAACTTTAAAGATGTTTCTGCACCATATAAAGTAAAGGTCTAAATAAATCAAATTGGGAAATCAGAAGAAACTTCTTTACCCAGAGAGTGGTGGGAATGTGAAACTTGCTACCACAAGGAGCAAATAGCGTAGATGCATTTAAGGGGAAGCTAGATAAGTACATGAGGGATAAAGGAATAGAAGGTTATGCTGATAGGTTTAGTTGAGGAAGAGTAGGTGGAGGCTCATGTGGAGCACAAACACCAGCATAGACCAGTTGGGCCAAATGGCCTGTTTCTGTATTTTATATTCTATGTAATTGTATGTAAAAAGTTGTATCATATGCGATATAGTTACTATGAATGAAACAGTCAATAATATAAAAGTGATTTGTTGGACATATCTAAAGTACAGCAAATATATTTATATGTATTATAAATATACACAAGCACAAACTCACACATACACACACACACCTTGTCAAATGTTTAGTCCGAGATTTTAAGAATTTGGAATACCATGTTAACTTATCGATCAGCTCTAACAATCTGGAAAAATATCTTAAAATGAAAACTACAATTGGCTCTGAATGTGTTCAAAAGTACATAAAACTTAATGATCTTTTACGACTTTCAGAATAGGGAGGGGAGTAAGTCTTATATCATTTTACCAACTATAAAACTATGATCGGCTTAAGGAAAATCACTTCTGACAGTCACTTGATCCACAGATCAATTTTCCTGGATTGGGTAATATTTCTACAAAAAAAGGTTCATTGCAGTTGGCCTGTATTTTCTTTACATATGAGAAAAACATATGCTTGAAGGTATCACTGACTAACAAGAGTTTGGCTGTGCCTAGTTGAAAGGGTCAGTCAATGTGTTGGTCTCATGAAAATGTACTTCTCAGTGAATATGTTCACTGTCGAGAGTAGGAAGTAAAGCAGCAATAAGATGTGCATTAGGATGACCGTGAATTAAGTTGGTACAATTACCTTAAAGGACAATCACTTTAATAAACAATTACCTTAATGATAAAGTCAGCACCCAGTGGACCCTGTATCTTGAGGATTTCTTTATCAGAACTTTTCTGAAACTCAACAGTGGTATTCTCAATGTCATACGATCCCACAGTATTTAGATTGTGTTCTTCTTTGCGTCCCTGTAGCGTTTTGGATTCAATATCTGAAATAAATTGGTTTCCAGGAATATCAAAATATTGTGCATGTTTTTTGTCACGCTCCCTCTCCCTCCACCAATGGTAGAGGAATGTAATTTCATAAACAATGCATTAGAAATACACAATTTATTCTTTAAGGTGTTAAAGATAGGTTGAGGAAAATGGCAGCAGTGCAACTAAGTAGCCCTTTTGAAATGAATTACGAAGACTGTTTTCCATTTTATGTACCAATTTTGCAAACCAAAAAATCTACCAAAAAATAATAATTTGGTCACTCAATCAACCAAATCGACAGTGTCTGTGGGACACTGCTGTGCGCAATTGTCCACAAAATATGCGCATTTTGCCCACAGTCACAGCTCTTTACAATATATTCTGTGAAGCGCTTTGAAACATCTCGACAATTTGATAAGGCACTATACCAAGTGCATGTATTATTATTATCATCATTACAACACTGTTACAATGACTGGCATATCTCACCCAGCCTGAGTGCGGCCAACATATTTATGGTTTAAAAAAATGTTCTTGAAAACATTACGGCCAATCTTTTAGTTTCCACATTTGCCAGGTAAAGCAGTATAAACGCAACTAAATATGTCTAGTTACACAAACCAGATGATCACAAGATATTATTTACATATACACAGTCACACACCAGAAACCATTGTATCCATAACTTTTAATAACAGATCAATGCTGTTTATTTAATAGGCCTAAAATGCCACTCTATGAAGTTGGCACATCCCACCTAGTTAGCAGAATTAGCTTGTGTATTTTCTTGTGTTTCTTTGATGATTTTCTGAATGACTACTTCACAAACGTACGAGCAAAGCTGCACCAAAAAAAAATCTGGAAGCTTGTGTTTAAAAGTAATATGACTAATTAACATCCAATTTTAAAACCTCAAAGGAGGATATATGTATAGGTGGGGTGGGTGAAGGAGGGGGGGTATAGAGAGAGCAAAAGAGACACCTTAGCCACAGAGGAAGTGAAAGCTGGGCTTACACAACAAATAAGCAATCACACACTTTACAATGAACCCTGTGAAGGGCTCTTGAGACATTTCAACAAAGCAACAAAGCTCAATATCAAATGCATGAATTTTTTACATTACTGCAAGAAAAAAGCACATCCAAAGTGGGAGAGAAACAGAGAGAGAGAGAGAGAGAGAGAGAGAGACCGCGAACAGAAGTAGACGAGGAAAAAAAGACGCATCCATAAAGCGAAGAGCATCCATAAAGCCTTATTGTTCCATCATTGCAGTGGGTAATAACACTCTTTTACATTATTAACACCAGCTTTCTTTTTAATTGAAAAATTTCAATAAAAAAAACAACAAACTAAAGAATATCCTTGGGGAAGTTGCTTTTTATTGCCGATTTAACACGCACATTTTTGTTCCTAATTGCGATTCAAATGAAGACTTTCAATTGTGGCCTGGGAGCAGTTTAATTTTAATCATCTCCCCGTGTTCTCAGGCAGGGCTCGGTACAATACAAAATATAACTTGGGAGGCTGTGTAAGAATGGGGAAGAATGGAGGGAAAAAAAACTCATGCAATAATTAATTGAAAAATAAAAAGTTTGAATGAAACAAATGAAAACCATCAGCTGTAGGATAAGACAACATAAATAATTTCAAAACTGAGTGGTGTGTTTTAGTTGTTTTCCCCCTTCTTAACTTTTATAAACCCTTCTGGTGTACAGCTTTGAGACTGTAAATAGTGTGTTTTTACCTCAGACTGATTTTTATAAGTTTCACATGCAACATTTTTGCAGAGAGGTTTTACATAAACATCACTGCAAGCTGGGAGGTGATTGACTGAGCAAAGTAAGGGTAATTAGCTGGTTCTGACTTTTTCTGGCACTGCTTATTACAAACGTGCATTTTGCAAATAGCACTTCGACTATTTTACTGCAGATGGGCTTTTATTGCTGAGAAGGTCTGAAGGCTAGATTTTTGCTCGATTACGAATACTAACGCACTGACCTGCACAGATTTCAGAAATGTGTTACATTTTAAAGAAACATTTACACGCATTACCCGTTTTTCCTGTTTGTGGCGACACGACTTTCCAATAAATGAAAGCAACGTGATACATACACAGTCTTTGATCGGAAGTGAGTGATGGCTGGAGAGACCAGAGCTTGCTTAGGCTTAAGGTGCAGCAGTGTTTGCTTTACGTTCTACCCTGCTGTTATTCCGCGCTGATTTATACGCATCAAAGATTTTGCTCTTACTCAATTTAAAATTTTTGCAGATTTTGAAATAAAACTCACAAAGGTGGGCTGGCCCCTTGACTGTGATTTTCACGTGTCGACTCCCATATGGAACTGCAATCACTGTATCTTCCACTGAATGGTTTAAAAAATAAGGAGGAAAATCAGCTGAATGTTGACATACCATCAGTTAGCACTCAGTAATTCATCACGCCGCACAGCTTTAGAGCCCTAAATATTCACATGACACTTCTTTTCTCAACATGAGCTGTCAAAACGTGTGAACACACATGCGACGGCATGAAATTCAATTCAGGCTCCTAACCAGCACCCGAGGAACCCAATACAAGATGTGACCAAAGCCTGACGATGACTTAATGCCACAGTTTTGTTTGGTTCCAAATAGCGACAAGATCAAGAGTGATTTACACCAACTCATGAGCAGTGATTGGTTTACCATACTTTTAAGTGGTTAAAGAAAAAGGACTAAAGCAAACAGTATCATGGTAGACGATCTCCAGATTTTGCTGCCAGGTAAAGCACTTTCAACTTGTGAGATTGTTGTTCCAGCAGGCAGCCTTCACCAGAGTCAAATAACGCAAGTAACGCAAGTAACCTTGCACAGTCTCAAACTACAAAACAATCTGTGAACACCTCTGATAATTATTCATGGAAGGATGAGAACAAGCAGCCCGATCGACTTTCTTCATCGAAACCCCACTTGCCCACTTGTGATTAACTAAACCCTCCCCCCACCCCTACCAACAACATAGAATAAAACATTTCTGGTTTATATTACTATTGTGCTAACACATCATAAAGTAAGGAATTTCTTAGAAAAATAGAAAGGATGAAAAAGCATAAAAAGTTCCTGCGAATGGCATTCTCTTTATTAAATGACGCATTCAGTTATGCACCGAGCTGCGTGAAGTTTCAGATTAAGCATTCAGTTAATAGGATTTAGGCTTTAAAACAAACAAATTTAAGAAGAAAAAAAATGACACGTACGTTTTTCAGGAGACACGTGGGATTTCGCCTGTCCTCTCACAAGCCTGCATGTGGATCCATCTCCTGCACAAATTCCACAGTTGTCTTCCTTGGTTTTACTCCCAAGTTGTCGATCACATCCCACTACCTGCCAACAACAATGCCAACACCAGTCAAAAGGGTAAAGCTGATGGTATACAAGTTCAAGTTACAGGAAAACTATAATTTTTTTNGTGTTACCTTTCACAATTTGGATTGACCTCATTCTGTCACTGCATAGCTCTATTATTTGACGGCTAATTTATTTGGAATACCTACAGGACTGTTTTATTTCTAGAACATCTTACTTTGCACTTTTCTAAAAAACAATCACTGCATCAGACGTGCGAAATAACCCATTCGGTACCCAGGTTCTATCAACGTACCTTGATCCAAGTTAAATGTGCTTATTAGGAAGTCATGGGGATCAAATCAATTACTTCTCACTTTAAATAATTATCCTTCCACTTGCTTAAGTGCATCAGGAAAACAACAACAACAACAAATTAGATTTGTACAGCGCCTTTCACGTCAGGAGGATGTCCTGACGTGAAAGATCTCAAAGCATTTTGCTGCATTTATTGTAAAGTGCAGCGTCTGGTTATTTTCTGAAACTATTTGAAAAACTTCCTTCTCTTTTCAAACAGTGTCATGGGATATTTAAGATCCACCTGAAGATATTGGTTTAATATCCCCAAAGATGGCACTTCCAACAATGGCATTTCCCCCAGCACTATATTGGAGTATCAGCCTAGACTACGAGTGGGGTTTGGACCCACAACCTTCTGGCTTAGAGAACAGAACAAAGTGCGACCAATTGAGCCAGAGTCTTACATGTATGGGTGTTAGAAATCCTTTGAGGGCATCCAGAAACTATGGTGCCTCATTAAGTGAAGAATATTCATTAAGTGTGTAAATCACGTCTTTATAACAACTGAAATGTAGATTCATCTTAACCACAGTGAATTCTCACTAACTGTAAACTCAAGTTGCTCTTTTTACTCGTGCTTTTTATGCTACACGTCTATTCCTCCCTTTACTGCCTGCATCATGTTACTGTCTTGAGAATGCAACGTTCCACTTTATAGCACTTCTGTGACAAGCTATATATAATTAAATAAATCAATCCCAAAATTTACAAGTGCTTTAATACACCTAAGAGCTGTACAGAATTTGAAATATAATGTATTGCATACACCGGCTCCCTTTAATAAATGAATTCCGCATCATGAAGACTCATCCATGGTGCAATGTATGGATAAAGCCCTTCCAAATCCGTGGTATTATCCAACATTGAATTTCTCTGCTTGACAGAATATAAAATGTAATCTGCCTTGATTTGCACTTAGTAGATACTAGAAATTGGGAAACAGCTGCTCTAGGAATAAAAACACTGTCATTAGTAAGCCGGCACTCAAACTAAATGGTAATAAAATGTAATTAGGGGCCTGAAGGGGAGCATGCACATTTTTTGATTTGTAAAAGCAAGATTTGCTTTTGTGAACTAGAAATGTCTAACCGGAAAAATAAGTCATGTATTTGGCTACAAATTCCTCATGCTATTGAGTGCAGTGGCTTTGATGATGGGCTGTATGCCTCCATTCAAGCACACACTGTCAATATTACCACTTAGAGGGGTAAGGAATTTCTCACCCACCACTTCTATAAGTCCAATGATTTCTCCAACTGAGGTCTGACCTCAGCCATCTGTCATTTTCATAGAACTCTAAACCTGAATAACTGTACTACCTTGTTCAATCATGAACAGTGTCAATTTTTTTTACTCCTTTATAGACTGCTGCCTCTCACAACCTAACCATTCAAATCCTGGATTTAACTAACGTTTTGAATGACTGAAGTCATTTCGGACTTTATTCTTCTGAAGCACAATCGCTGCAGCCAGACAAAACACATAATGGCAGAGGCAAAAAGATTATGGAAACTGCTAACAAAAAAAACCTATGGATTTAACTGCAGTGTAATCTAGAATTTTGATGTAGTGGAAAACCACACTCTTTCAAAGCCGGAGCAACAAAACGCTAGTCATAACTGCAGCTTTCCTTTGAGGTGCTAGTTGCAACTGACTGCTGCAACATGGAACTCCAAGGTACCATGTTGGCATTTCTGTTTCTTAACATATTTCCAAGTCATCCATAATAAAGATGGGATAATATCGTAAACACCTTTTTGTTGCAAACTAATGTGGTTCGCACACCTCCAAAAAGTATGTGTTCCACAGTGAACTGTACCTGGAAGTCAGATTTTCAGTGCGTTCTTCTATCAATTACCAGCTAAATTACTATTCCCTCCCCATTATTCATGTCATGTCAACGTGAGAGAAAATTTCTCTCAGGAGAGTGCCACAGTTACACCTCTGATACCTCTGTATAAGGCTTCTGAAACTAGCCGTCTGGACTCGCTTATGATGCTGACCACTTAGGTGAGGTTCGAGAGTATACTGGCAGCCATAGAATTGTCCCCCCAGTAAGAGTCAGGACTTTTAATTGGAGAGAATTGCAGAGAGGGATAAAAGACTTAAAATATAGGCCAACAATGATAGAGTAAACAGATTCTTTTTCACGATAGAACGCAGGTAAGATTCTGTGTTGAATTTTACAAACCATCAAAAAGTAACATGTGTTCCACAGCAAACTGTGCCTGGAAGTCAGATTTTCAGTGAGTTCTTCTATCAATTACCAGCTAAATTACTATTTGCCTCCCCATTTCTTATGTCATGTCAACGTGAGAGAAAATTTCTCTCAGGAGAATGCCACACTTACACCTCTAATACTCAGATAACCAAGGAAAATAACCAAGGAATATGAACTATTCAGAAAAAGTCTCACTTGTGATGGGTCTCAAATAGGAAACAAAGAAAGGCTTGAGGGGTTGGAATGAAAATTCTTGATGCTCATACTTGATTGTCTTTGGATCTTCACTGTGAAACTGACTCCTGATATTAAAGAAAGGCATCTTTCTACATCAGGTCACTTGAGATCAGGAACTAAGCATACAGGAATGAACACCACTATTGCCGTGCTAGATACAGCGTTTACTCTCTTTTCCCCTTTTAGTCACACTAAAGGTTAGTTATTCCATTGGGGCAATGATTTACATTGCAGCCAATGAAAGATTCAGAACAGAAATTGACCATATCTACAAACGATATCTTGATTTTTTTTTGAAAAATTCAATATTACATCTAACAGAAGTTGTTATTAAATCAGAAGCACTTTGGTGAATACAAGAACAACTGACCAACTTATTGCAACAACTGTGCAATATTAATAATAACAAGAAATGTAAGAGCTCTTTTTAAAAGTGCTCCAATTTTGGTTCAAAAATCTCAGATTACTTAGATTTGAAATTATAAGCAAGAATAATTTTAAACTCCCATCTTCAGAAATTGCACAAGAAACTAATAGTTTGCTGAGCACAACTTGCAGAACAAATTCCCCCTTATTTTCAATCGGAATGTCTCAGTTCCAGGCTTAGTCCTTTATACGACAGTATTAAAGATCAATCAGTGTGAAGGTAATGAGAGAAGGGTAATGAGAACCAATCAGGCTATAGTCTTGTGAGCAGTAAAGCAAGCATTACCTTTTCAAAAAAATAAAAGTGCTCAACTGGTTTTGCATTGTGACAACAAGGAGTGTTCACTAATAGAGTGTTCTCTCGTGGAGAGGTAGTACTCGTACCTCACTGAGATTGATGAATGAGGTAAGTGGATCTCATCTGAATAGAACTGGGACCTCTTGCTCTAGCCTGGCATCAGCTGAATAAGCAAGTATCAGGTTAATGCAATCAACTTTTCATCATATGTGCTCAGTGAAAAACCTGCTTACCTCACCTTTTGGTATTCTGAACCCACCCAGGCACAACAGAGCTTGTTCATTGGTTTGGGGGCAAAGGAGACATGCTGACTGCAAACAGCAGGAGAGAAGTGCAACAGTGCTTGTTTTTCTACTTTTTAAAAATAGCTGGAACACTCATTCAGAATTCTGATGATTTTCAAATTGAAAGGAAAACGACATCATTCGACTGCAAATACACAACCACCTCACGTTTGGAGAAAGCTCTGTGAAGTGCTTCAAGACATTTTGACATGATGAGGCGTTATGTCATATGCAAGGATTGTTATTATTACCGCTTTACAAAAAATAATATTTTAGTCCCGCATTAAATGGAATGCAATTTTTGAGGAACCTGCCCTTCAACATAAAAACTCAGAAGAATAAAACAAATAAGCTTTACAGTTAACTCCAATATATCTAGAAAGTTTTGAAACAAAATTAAAAATATATTAACTTGCGAAGATTCCAGCACGTTTCAGAGAAACCCTTGATTATAAAATAATATGGATAAAACAATGTGTCTATTAAATTCTAATATGTACGGTTTTATAGGCAAGGGCACCACAGAGTGATAAGTTCAAGAGCAGTGGTGGCCAATGTTTTTGATCAACCAACAAAATAAATTTTCTTGATTGAATATTTCTTCATTTATTGCCGCACCAAGGGATCGACGCACGGAAACTACAGGAAACAAGACATTGATTTGGAACAGACTTGTGTGGACTGTGCGAATGTTCTTGGCGGGGGCACATTTGACAGCCCTGAGGGCCATGGGTTGGCCAATGCTAGTTTAGAGGTTTATGCTTCCGATTGCTGGCAAGGATTGTGTTGCTTCTGAAACTAAGAATTCCTCAATTTTAGCCATGCTTCAATAGGTAGCTGCTGGGCATTGGGCAGTCAGTGGGAGAGAGGTTTTGTTACAATGAATTGTTCGGAAACTTGGACCAAGCTTTATCCATGGAATGCTTTCAAGTTGTTCAACTATCACTTTTTTTGTGGTAAAGCTATTGAAAGTAGCATTCACTTTCTTGATGATATTTGACATTAACTCTCCCCTCCCCCCTCAAAGTAAGTGGACCAAGGTTTAAGAAACACAGTAAATACTCACCTTATGCCTTTAATCCTCAACGTTTCCATGATGGTTTTCCAGCAAAAAAAACCCAGTGCTTTAACTACATACAGTCACTGTTGGTAAGAACAACGTAAATTTACCTGACAAATTCCACTGATGCACATATTCAAAGTGTCGGGGTTGCATCGGGTACCATCAAGCACTTTGGGCGATAATTCCACAATCAAACTTGTTCCCCAAGCCTGACATTTCAGAGCACATGGATTATCTGGGTCGCTGTAGACAGGAATCCATTCATAAGATTGTCCTTGGTGTTTCATATCATTATGTGCAGAACACTGCTGATCTCGGAAATCACCGGCCTCAGGAGGGCAATCCTTTAAACACAAAAAAATTAAAAAGTCAACGTGGAAGAAACTAAGTGTTCCAAAACAGTATTGCAAAACACACCCATGCATGCACACACACGCACTCTCATTTTGCATCTCTAAATCCTGGGAAATATGCAATAATACATTGCATTGAAAGAGATGAAGGGCTGAGATGAAACTGAACAATACATCGTGGGATAGCATAATGGCCTCTCACCACTGAGACCACAATTCAAACAAACCCATCCTAAATTGCCGGAAAGAAATTCTCTTTGTCGCTTGGCCCTGAATCTTCTTGCAGAGGTAGGAACCTTTAGTAAAACTGACTGGTGCAGTCCTTCAACCACCTACATGAATTCAAACAACCTTGCCCTTGATTTGGAACTAAATTGGCAATCACACTCAGAAGGTCCTCTGGGTGGATGGTGAGGAACGCAAAATGTCATGCTCGTGCAATTGAAAGTGCTCCTCTGGGATTGGTGCTAGGGTGTATTACTGAGGCTTTATAGAGAAAACTTTATTTCATAGTTCTTAAAAAAAAGAACCTGCTTCCAATTTGAGATGGAATTTAAGAATTTTCCTCAATTCTGCATGAATTTAATTTTAATAGGATAAAGACCAGGTGAAATTTTGAACCTCGAGTGAAAAGAGAGACAAAGAGAGAGAAAGCCCCAGCTGCAGAAAGTCTCAATCCTCAGGGAGGAAAGGCCACACTGACCACAGTGATGGGTGATGCCTTATTAATACAATCCTAACTGTGCATTATTCTATATGTACCAGATACCCGTAACAAATAGAACTGTCTGTCATTCGCTCACAAAGCACAATGGTGATGGTCAGCCCTTATTATGTGGTACAATCAAGGGAAGCTGCCATCCATCATTGTCTTTCTTGATAACTGCTACTACTGGCAATAAAAGAAAAATGTCTCCAGAAAGATCAAAAAAGTTCCAGAAAAGGACAGTGTGTATATAAGGTTGTTGTACAAGCAGAACACTTGGTTGTACAAGACCTTTACAAGACCTCACAAAACCTTTGCTCTTGTAGTTGATGAGGTCATTTAAATAACTTGATACTTTACTGCTTTCAGCCTCTGCGTTGCCAATTTAACAACAAAAGTAAATGTAAGGAGCTGGGCACAGGGTATAGTCCTCACTGTACAAAACTGCTCATTATGAAAATAACTTGCTTAGAAATCACACAGCATTAATACAACATTAATTTACTAACTTGACAATGGTAATAATTCTCAGACATTGCTGCTTAAATATTAGAAATGCATTTGAAAGCAAGCTATTTAAAATATCAACAATTATAGTCCTCAATGTGTACTTAAGTAAAATTGTTGGTATGTCTGCTTATTATTCATTCCCAGATATATTATTCTCATAAAACAAAATTGCCTTAAATCAATAGAAACTCAATAGGAATCACTTAAATAAAAAACTGGAATTTGGAAATTTTATAGTTTTCTCAAGACTAATTAATGTGCAGAAGAGAAACATTTACAAAAGAGCAAACTTGTTTGAGTCATTGCAACATTAGCTTGGGAACAATAATGATCACTCCAGTAGTTAGTTTTATGAGGTTCTACTTACTCCCACAGGAATTGATGCACTGGAATTTTCATAATGGTCTCACACAGACCACCGCATGTCCTGCTGGTAGAGCTAAGAAAATTGCTAATGCTTTACAGTGCAAAGAACTGTAAACCACCATGAGATGATACTGGCAGGATAGACTCTGAAACATCAGGGACATGTTTATCCTATGGATCCAACTGGGGACACTCTGTTCAAGTGTGAGATGTCAGACATATATGAACCAGCAGGTACACTCAGGATTTGAACGGCACAAGGAACGACGAAAATGTAAAATATTGCTATGCTCTTAATCACTCGCTACTTTTCTTTTGCTGGTAGTATTGTTCCATGAGCTCTAGCTATATTCTGCTAATTCACCCAAGTGGCCATTATTAACATCTAAACCTTGATGTTCACTATTGGCAGGCTATTTGACAAGGGAGAGAGGGAAGAGAAGGAGCTAAGATTAATTAATTCATCACCAACCAGGGAGTCAAATGTTTTCAGTTTGTTCAGCTCAGCTACTCACTGGATGAACTCACCTCAACTATTGGAAGAGATGTTCACAGATATAAATCGAGATAGTGTTTTGCAATGAACTGAGCCAAGCAGCGAACGGCAGCCACAGCGGCTTAACAGTCGATCCTTTCACCTCCAGACCTTGCGTTCAAATTCAACCCATAATTCATAGCTGAAGCTTTTCTCTCTTTGCTAGCTGCAAGCTTCCTAATGCATTGATTTTAACCAGTTCAACATAGCTCCTAGTCAGTGCAGTGTCCAAACCACTACAACTGGTACTGTACTGTCAATCAATAATAATAATAATAATAATAATCCTTGCATTTGATATAGCGCTTTTCATGTCAGGAGGACATCCCAAAGCGCTTCACAGAACACACTGTAAAGTGAATTGACTGTATATTTGTGGGCGAACGCGGCAGCCAATTGCGCACAGCAATGTCCCACAAACAGTCGTAGATTGAAAATGACCAATTTATTATTGTTTTGGGTTTTGGAGGGATTATTATTAGGCTCTGTGTGGAGTAAGGAAACTTGCCCAAGGTTTCGCCCTCTGCCTGGAATTGAACTCAGGTCTCTCACTTGCAAAGCGAGTGCTCTAACCACTGAGCTACAGGACTCCACGAAATCAAATGCAGAGAAGCCATTAGGATGTTGGTGTGGGAAGTGGAAGAATTTGCGTACATTGTAGAAGGAGAACACAGGGGGCTTTAAATCTATACTGATCATGCAATGTCAGCAGACTTTGGAGTGCTCAATACTGCTGCTGGGTGTTTGAAGCAGCAAAGGAATCCATTCCTCTGTAATAACATCTGCAATCATCAGGAAGATGAACATTGACCATCATGTGGATGATAAATGTGTGTCTGATGTGGAAAAGGTTTTCTATTCCTTAGCCATAAAACCACGCACAGAGAAAAAAACTAGGAGACCAAATTGAACATTAGAGTCCATGAAGCAGTTTTCAAAGAGAAGTTTGCACAAGTGTGTCCAAACAAATTATTTTATTCACTACTTACCACATTGCTGCAAGTTTTATACCTAATATTTCTCCCTTCACAATGCCTAGGAGACAAGAAATAAAACAAAATGACAGAGAACAAGCTTTGAAAATATAAAATTAACACACGTCAAACAATTTACAACAGCTTCCTTTATTCAGCCAATCTCACATGTGCGAATGACTCAACAAAGGAAGTCTCCATGGTAGAAATCCTCTAATCCTAAATATTTTTTAATTCTCTTTACTAATAATAAATGTAAGATTTTGGCCAAGAATATAAGCCAATTGCACCAAATGAAATCATTCTTGACAGGGGCTTTTGCTCTGATCCTAAATCAAGTTAAATTTTATTTCACCTGTCAAAACACGAGTAGAATGTATCTGCCAGAAGCTTATGTATAATGAAACTACTTATTGATAAAAATCCAACTGAGCATGAACAAGCACATTCAATCCCAAAGAGCTGAGTCTATACTATTTTAGTAATTTGTTTTTACATTCCCCAGTCCTATCATGATCAAATGCTTACCATCAAAATAAAATTCCCTTTCATGTTTTTGTTAAAAAAATAAGCTGATTACATACAGTTAACCATTATTAAAGGTCATTCAGATGGATCCAGAATACACCAACGACTCACTTGATCATATATATCAATCACAATTATGGTTAAGAAAAAAAGCTTCCTGTGTAAAAAAAAGTCCATATTGCTGAGTTTTCTTCAAGATTATAGTGAATAATCTGTTTTTCTGGCAAACACAGTCTATTACACAATGAAGGTACTGTTGTTGTTATTATTCATCATGCAAGTGGTTTCTGATTCTCAATCTCTGAATACATCCCCGGTTTTAGCAACTGGGGATCATAGTCGGGCTATTAATTCAGGCATCACAAGCAAAATAGTGCACTGGAAAAACATTGTGAAAAATGTAAATATAGGCACAAATCTTTTGCCTGGGGACCTGCTTCATATCCAACATAAACAAGTGTGGTTCACTTCATAAGCTAGCTCCAAGGCACATATTTTGGTGAAATAGCTTGGTAGAAGCAGTGTCTCATAACACCTTAAGCAGAGAGTGCTAGGATATAGACATCAGTTGCAATGCCTTACATATCCTTGCTGTGAATGGGGGCTTGTGGTTTGGCAAGCACTGTGATAGGTCTTACGTTACATATATTCCAAGGTGAACAAAATGCCACATGGAGTTTCAATGCCCCGGCATGAATGCAATGTTGTGTCATTCTCATTGGCACAGAATATTAATGAAACATTTGTTTCAGTAGCCTGAATCGTCATAGAATAACAAGCTGAAGGTGAATGGGAGGAGCGTTGGGAGATTTAACTGTGGTGACCCCGGTGGAGGAAAACTCGGTTGCTTCTTTGATAAAGAAAACCAACCTTAAAAGGGTGGACACATTGAGTGAGAGAAGTGCATTGATCAGCTCCCTTTGGTACTATGCAGTTCTGTAGTATGACAGATATCACAAGAGAGGCACAAAACCCCATAACAACATTAATGTAATCCTCAAGTAAAAGTATGACTGGAAACAGTATTGCATTATGTTAGCTTGGCATGCAGAAAATGTTGACAGTTCTTGTTTCTTGGGGTTCAATATTTCGAGACTGAAATAACTTATCAGTATCAGTTGCTACCGTAAGTGATAGGACCATTAGGTCTTTCTCAGCAACTCAGCCCTGCACCTCCTGCATGGAGCACAGCTACTGGACATTGTATACAGTAGCTGAGGAGCAGTCACACAAGATAAACTGGTAGAAGTGGATCAATCCCTGGTGAAGAGTGTGGCACATTGCTGGAGGTTGTGAAGGTTGACAACTCTCACAAAGTTGGCAACGAATCATCCAGCCCTAAATAGGAAAGAGACCTCAGTGTTCCTCCAATGAAGAGATAATCACAGCATTTCTGCATTTTCAGAGACAATGCAGAGAAGCTGACTGAGGTTCTGATACAGCAAACTGTGTAATGCCATGAGTTATTTAACATCCACCAGAGAAGTAGCAGGCAATAATTTGATATGTCACCCCGAGGACACTGCCTCCAACAATGCAACAACTCCCACAACACAGAACTGAAGTATTAACCTATGGCAGGGCGAAAAGGAAGAATGGAGGAAGGTCCTTTGCCAAGAACATCATCAAGGTCTGAATTGAAAGAGAAAAGTGAACAAAATACATCACATCTCTCCTTAGGAGAACTAGCAGCTAAAAGATCAGGGCAATCCACAATTAAAATGTTAATTCCATTGTCTGTGAAAATTTTCGCCATTTAAACATTTGTCTGGCATTGTATGTGATCACTTTATTCCTATGGAACTGGAAGTTAGAAAACCAATTGGTTCTGGCTCTGACCTGATGTTTAAGCATCTTCTGAGAGAGTACGAGGCTCCTCCTCCACAAGTCCGAGAACAGTCACTCCAAGGCCCCCAGGCGTCCCATCCAAAAGCCTTATCCTCGTCTGATCGTGTGCTCCTGGATGTCTATAAATCCGGAAGGCAAAACCATATTAGAAAGCTATACGAAATAGATCAGTTTCAAATTCACACTCCATTAAAGAAATAAAATTCTTGCAGTTGCGTTAAGGAAAATAAAATACAAATGACACTATTTCAGATCGCCATATCAAATGTCAAGCAATACAAGATTTAGAACAAGAAATTACCAGGTTGAATTTAAGCACATCTTAGTCAACAATGTTCCAGGCCTGCTTAATACTGAAAAGGTGCATGGGGAAAGAGCAGGGAAATGGGGCTGAAAGGATTGCTCTTGAGGGAGCTGGCTCAGGCACGATGGGTTGAATGGTTTTCTTCTGTGCCATAAATTTCTATGATTCTATAGAATTTTATTTTCTTCCCATCAGCACATGAGAAATTTGCTTTGAGGCTCGTTAATTTTTTACTTGCTTCAGTTAGATCAGTGCTTACAGGTTCTAATGAGTCTTTGAAATGAAACCACATGTTAATAGAGGAAATGTGTAAATCATTAAAGCCAAAACAGCAGATTGATAAAAAGCTGAGCAACATATGAGTTTGGGGTGGATGCTTCAATATGATCTGTGTCCATTAACAAAAATGTGCGTCAACCAATAAAAATGCAACCTTAATAAATGCCCAGTCCCACTTCACAACAAAGGTTAACAGCACTTAATGGGGATGTAGGGCACTCACACAGATGTTCATGAGGCATTTCGCTTTCTGTTGCAATACTGAAAGCTGGGTTCATTTGAAATGTAAAGTGTTTGGCAAACAGTACGGATTCATGGAACCATCAAAGCTAACAATGAGTCCAAATGACATCAATTCAATCAGCGTACTCATATGGAATAATGTTATGATTATGATTTATAATATTCTTTTTGATTGTGTACAAAACAATAATGCAACTGTTCAAATGGCTGCACCACTGTATACATTTAATCACCCAGCATTATTTCCTCTTTAGCACTATTCTTTGCATTGATTAAATACAAGGGTACCCACATATTTGAACTATTAATCATACCCTTGCCTTTCTCCAAATACAGTTAACAACATATGGTTTGTCCATCAGTTTATTATAAATATTTTTGGAACTGCATAAAAATACTGTCTTTTACATTTAACACTTTGCTATTAATTTCTGAAAATGTATCAGTTACTGCAGTGAAATCGATCCAGGGCATTAACTAGCTGGCGAGGACTTCTGTTATTCTTGTCAGCAGAGATCAAGTGAAAGCTAAACATTTCTCTGTTGATCTTTGAATGGGGTTCTCGAGAGATTTCAGTATGACACGGTTGACCTCTCAACTATTAAACATTCCAGTTATTCATTGCTAAGCATTAACCTTGGACCAAAATATGAATGACATATTAAACAGCCTTGATCTATTTGAAGCTTATGGTTTAGAATTTGGAGTACTGGAAGTTTTAAATATAAGATAAGATAAATTCATCAAATTAAGATAAATGTACATTGAAATTATTTGTATGAAGCTTAATTACCAAAGTAATGCCTTAAATAGTATAATGTCATGCCTTTTTAAGCACGGTGTGAAGGATGCAATATAAATGCAAGTTGTTTTTGTATGAGTGGGAGAGGAATAACTGGGGCGACATCAGGGTACAGGGAAAACAGCATTGCAATAATCTCAATGATTAAAAAATCTGAATCACAAGTATGTGTCTTATTATTCTAAGAGATTGAGGTAGTATTTTTATTCCAGGACTGTACATTTTTATTGGAAATTGGCAGAGCAAGATTAGATTTAATAGGTTTTAAAACGTGCCCTGGCACAAGTAAAAACACCTGCAATACCGTACTGCAGTCAGTGGTAACTCATTTCCCTGAAGGGCAGTAAGCTGTTGAGAAAGTGATGTGAATTGCTCAGTATAAATTAGTCACGCAATCACAAAGTGTTTCACTATGGTACCCAGTGGCTAAGGCAATCTTGAGAAGGTGTTATCCCAACTAGATTGATTCGACCCACATTGAGGTGCAAAAGCCGAAGTTTGCCTGCAAGTACTTAGTTACAAAACTTTACAGGAAAATTCTGCAAAGTGCTTTGAGATGTTTTCCCGATATGAAAAGCGCTAAATCAAATTATTTTTTCTATTAATTCAGTGGGTGCACAGTAATTCGGCCTCTATTCAAAAATGTTTCCTTAAAATTTCTCATTCAAAGTTATTAAAAGTTAATTTTTAATGTTTTTAAGAGCCATTCTATGCAATTGACCCACAATCTAACATTTTAGCAGAACTCGATATATGCACATAGGTTTGGGGATGAGAAGGGCAACTTTTGTTTGGTGCTGTAAAGGGAAGGGCAGAAGGTCAGTATTCTGGAAGCAAATGGATTAAATGAAAGGAAATTTTTCATTCTAAACTTTCTCAACTGAACCTCTCTTGTTGTGTTACTTGAGGGGCATTAATGCATCTTATTATAGAATTACTTGAAGTCTGAAGCATTGTTCAACTTGTCCTTACCCTCAGTAACTTTTAACTGAACACTTCCTCCATGTTAAAGAAGTTGCAATGGGAAGATGTATGCCTAAACTTTAAGATAATCTTAACAGTAAAATGGGAGATTTATTGTTTCCATTTACTGTACAACTTACATTAAATTTAGAGGTAACCTAATTTACATAATGACCAGTTAAGTTATCCCAGATCAACAAATTGTAGCTGTTTTGGAGATATTATACAATAAAATAAGTTTTTTTTAAAAAAATGGAATCTTGGATAGAGTTCAGAACTCATTTTACATCCCCGCTGCCTCACAGCTTGCAACATTCTCACCCTGTGTCAGAATACTTTAAGTTAATAACTACAATTTTTTTTAATAGCTTCCAAAACACAGGCTCATACCCAAGTGAAAATGTTGAGTTTATGGAAAGAAGAAATAAGTCTTTATATTTCATACATGCCAGAATATACTCCAGTACGAGAGTCTGACTGGGATCAGCTGCTATTTTCAATTTGCCCCTGCAGTCACTTTAAGCTTCCCGCAACAGTGAATACTCAAAAAGTATAAAGGAAGAGAGCGTAGGATGGCATAATAGGAACTTGGGTAGAGGATGAGGGGAAAGAACAGAGGTTAAAATAGAATTACTGAATTTATATTTTATCCTTTGTCGCATAAAATGCCCCCATCCCCCTGGTTTCTCGTGTAGCTTTCAGTTGTTAACAGGTCCTTTTTAGACCTGTAGCTATCAATATTAATTGCATGATTTTCACAGATGTATTTCCAGTTGGCACTTAACACAACGTACAACTGTTTCTTTTACTGAATGCTGTGATAGAATATTTTCTTGTCTTTTTTCCCCTCAATTAATGCCATTCAAAATTATATTTCATATCACCTCCAGTTAGATACATTCAAAATATTTTGTGTTTTTTATCATTAAGTTTGGGTGGTTGGAAATCAAGGCCTTCTAATGTAGCATTTGAAGTTAAAACCAACAGAAATAGTTTCTTTTTTGTTACTTCAAGTAATTCCAAAAAAAGATATAAGGATGATCAAAGCTGGATTATTCTTGGTATCCTGCCAAGGTTCCTTCAGAAGCATTATGCCTAGTATCTATAGCATCGGCTTAAAAGCTAGTTGATTCAAACCATTTGCTTTGCAAGAAAAAAAATGTTCTGACAGAATATATATTCCTCCACTTACAGGATAAATCACTGTATTGTTGCTTGCAAGATGTATGACCTGTTCAAAACATTCCTTGAGAGTAAAACGGTATTTTACACAAAACCTAATCCTCTATTATTAATATTTTCTTGTTGTTTTTCTCCTTCCATTAATGGCATTAATACACTTCATATCATCTCCAGTTGGATACATCTAAAAATTTGAATTAAAACCAACAATAAATGACAGAATCCCAAACAGTTACAATCTCACGTTTTACAATGTTTCACAAAGTGTTTATAATAATCTTTGCATTTGATATAGCGCCTTATCACATCGTTGAGACATCTCAAAGCGCTTCACAGAATATATTGTAAAGTAGATTGATTGTGTATTTTCTGGGTGAAACCACATGCACAGCCACAGCCTCGCATATTCTCTGGTGGACTGGAGGTGGTTATGTCATAAGGTTTGCAATAAAAAAAAAGGTAGGTGTTAAAAATACTTAAAAACTTGTGATTGGCAAAACATTCTAGCTTCATATCAAAGCCCAACAATCATGTTACTGCCAGCCAACAAATGCAACTTCTGGAAGTAGCTGCATTATTTCTCCAAACTGCACTAAAACAAAAAAAAGTGGTAAAACTCTTATTGTGATTGTTTGATATTTTTCTTGATACTGTGTTGCATTATTTATTTTTTGTGTAATTAAACTTTTGACAATATTTCTGTTGTTATCATCAAATTATCACAAGACATTTCATGCATAGGACTGAAGCTCAACATTTTAACAATGATTCTTAACTGTTAATTGGTGATTTATTGCTAAACCAAATGAGCTAGATATTCAAATTCAACCATCTATTCACATTCAAGAGGAGCCAGCCAACTATGAGGTTTCCAAAGCTGCCCTATCATATGTGATTCGACACATGATCAAAGGGCTGGCTCAACTCGGGCAAAATGTAGCTGGTATCAATTGCTCTCATGCCCTTCACTGTAACACTGTGAAGATTTATTTACAGTTCAGATGTTGGAAAGATCTCAATGACTTCGGTAGGTAGTTTTGCCAATGCAACATTTTTTTTTACACAATATCAAGCACATCCTCAAGCCTATTAATATATTTAATAAATGCATTTCTCGCATCAGATAAACATAGTTTACAAACCAACCATACGAGTTAGATAGTAGAATCAATTTGCAATATATGTAAGGTTGTAATTGCACTAAGGTGCAAGATCTTAAAAAGAGGATCACTATCATTTATTATAAAGCAACACCTGGCTCAAGTTTATTCATCTCGCAACTCGTTGTTAACACAATGAAACCAACTGGTGTATTCTTACTCACAGCAGTTTCCAAGGATCAGTTCCAATGTTTTTCTCAAGAATAATTGGATTAGCCTGGCTGAGTTGCTAGTACTCTCACCTCTGGATCAAAAGGATGAGGGTTCAAGCACGAAGTTGGGACTTTAAGCTAATTTGCTGTGAGCATGTTATCTGCTAGAAATACAGTCACTACACTTGACAACAATTATCTGTGAAGGGCTTGAGTCATGGGAGGATTATTATTATCATTTTTAGGAGTCTGATAAACAAGCACTAAAAATAGCCAGCTGGCCTAAAATTAAAAGCAAAGAATTCAATCCCTCACCAAGTAAAAATAATTACAGACATCCCTTGAGAACCAAACTGAATAGTTGGCATTGAGCAAGGTAGCTATTTTCTAATTGGCAATGATATCCATGCTCACAGGTGAAGAGACTGTTTAAAAGATCATTGGAATCTTAGCTAACAGTGAAGGAGCCAAAACACTAAAACGCACAGTAAAGCAGGGAGGTGCCTCAGAA